AAATCTTTTACCCAATTTACCTTGAACTTCAACTATCTTAGACTCATAATATTCATAGTCGTCTGCTTTCTTTGGTTCATAAAGGTATAACCAAGTTTGTATGCTTTGCCTTCTTTAAGGTTTGAGAACCTTTCTGTCAAAATTTTCTTTGACTGCTAACAAACCTTCTATGTCTAAGTCTTCAAATTTCGCACCATTTTTAGTCACAATAGCAAACTTAACTGGTTCGATGTTCCAAACTTTGCTCAAATGAAGACTTTTCAAAATGGTAGAAGTAAACATTCAAATATGTGAATGGGTCTAGTTCTTCTTTAAGTCCTGACATGTACTTGTTTACTGAATGAATTTTGCCATCTTTTCTATCGGATAAAAAAATATTTTTTTTAAAATTTACTCATAAAAATTTTTCTTTGTATATACACCATTCTGTACGTCTAAAAGACTTTTGACATTTGCCAAGAATGTACGTTTAGACGCTGTCATATAACCATATTCTTGACAATATTGTTTATATTCATCGTACAATGACCTTTCATCTAAACACTCAAAGTCAGTTTCATCTATAAACAGTTCATATACACTCTTGTTTGCTTCTAACAATGTTTGTCTCTCTTCGGTATATGGAATTTGTCTTGGATTGAACTTAGAAATATCTAATGTCATGAAATATGAGAACAAGTGGTTGTAAAAGTTAGGTGTCAAAGTTTCTGCTAAGTCGTCAAAATATTCTGTATCTTGCATATGAGCTTCTGACGTTCTGACAACTACATATCTTCTGTCAGAACTTTCTAACTTCATCGGAACGGCGTTGTTTGAAACCATGATGAAATTTGCAACATTTTCACAAACTCTTTGGTCTTTATATTTTCTTTCAACAACTCCAACTTTGTCTGTTATAAGACTCTTCAAAGCATCTGAGTTCAAAACTTTTGTTGTATCTATACTTTGAAGTTCGTTACATACTATAAGTTTCATATTCTCTATTGAAGAGTTAAATTTACCGCAGATGTTTTCTAAGTTTGTCATATTCGGGTTCGAATAACCTTCTAACAGTTTGCATAAGATATCTGTAAAGAAAGTGTTCTTACCAGTTCCTTGTTTTCCAATTATAATGAGAGCAGTTTCATTTTAGCACTTGGATGTAAGATGTTTGCAAACCAACATAAGATATACTCATAGACTCTTTCGTTTCCATTGCATATAATTTCTTTGACATGGTCTAACCAAGCTTCTATAACATTTTCTTTCCATTCTACTTGTTCGTATTTATATCCAGTGAAGATAGAATAGAAGTTTGGAGAAGGTGTATAAAACTTTATACCACGAACTGAAAAATCTTCTAACTTTGACAATAAATATCCCAAGCATCTAACATCTTCATACCAACTTGTACGACTTTTATTTTCTTAAGTTTCTGTCTACATTCTTGTTCTGAAACTATTGTTGCTCTTGGTTTGTTAAAGACAACATCCCATTCTTTCATGACATAACATTCTGGGCAGAGTCAACATAAATGACTAAACGTTTCAAATTCTCGACTGCTTTGTTATAGTCTCTAAATGGACACATATTTCTGAATGCTTGGAAGTCATAAAAATCTGAAACATCTATTCTGTACATTTTTATAAAATAAAAAAATATTATTTTTTTATTCTTGAGCTATTTGTTGTTGCATTTGTTCCATTTGTTGCATTTGTTGTTCTTGAGCTATTTGTTGTTGAAGTTGTTCTTGTAATACAATACTTTCACCAGTTGCATCTTCAATTCGAAACTTTCTGCCGTCATTGACAAATACATAGGACATAAAAGTTTTACAGGAACAAAGTTTGCGTCAACTAAGGTTAAGTTTATGTTTGCTAAAGTGTTTGAGTTTACTAAGCTGAAAACTCTGCATTCGAATGAACAATAGGCAAACCAGCAGAGAAAGTGTTGTTTATACGCATGAGTATCTTTTGGTAGTAGTTTCTGTCGACATTCGAATAACACTTTGAACCTAAGTTTGAAACAATATATAAGATTGGTGTACTTAAAGTCAATGGAACAGACATTCCTTGTATGACACCTTTTCCTGTTATAGGAAACTGTTGGTAGTAAAAACCAGATATAAGTTTTGTATTATAGCTCATATCGTTTATAGTAAACTCAGTCGGACATCCAAACATAATGAAACCTGCTCTAGTTGCAGCACATGTTACATCCGTCCTTAAAGTATTAAATAAGTCAACAAAACCTGTTGGTGGTATATCTGAGTAAGTATCTTCAAAGAAGTATTTTTTACCATTCACAACAACAAAGTCTTCTGGTGTCAAAAGAGCAAAACAGGCTTTAGTCGTCATCGTTTAAGGTCAGTTTACAATATCGTCCTTGAGGACTTTGTAAGTTTGTTGTTATAGAATTATATGACTCAGGGTTTTTAGTCGTAATAGTATAAACCACTATGTCTTCTGCCATTTACTTAGCAAAAATTTTAATGAAATGTTGTGGTCGTCAAATATTTTTATGACGTCTGGGAAACTATATTTTAAGTTCAACGTTTCACCTCCTTTCATAACGTATATCTTGTCAATGACATTATATGAAACACCACAGCAAGCAATGTCGGGTTCTATTTCTTTGATGTTTATATCGTCTGCCTCTGTCAAAAGTTTCAATAGTTCTTTCAAAATTTCATGAGGTGCGATGACATATGAGTTCACTTTTACAGGGTTGTTTCGACCAAGTTTAACATTATACCCAAAGCTTGACAAATCTTCTCCTGAGTTTTAAGTTTGTCTTTAAGTTGTTGGTAGTCGTTTCGAATATCTGCAACAGAACTTAAGTCTCTGCTAACTTCAGGGTATGTTGGTTGTTCTTTTACAGGAACTATTGTTATACCATCTTCGTCTTCGTATGGTTTCCCACTTCAACATCTCTTTCTTTGACATTGACAACAACACTTTGACTGTTTGTTTGAGTTGGTGAATTTAACTTCACATCTGCCACCGCCATTAAACCTTTTGAAACACTCACGCTTCTATTTTTCGGAAATGACATTTTACTTAGAATAAAAGATGGACGTATTCGAGTATCTCTTCGAATTGAAGCAGAAACAAAGTTTACACACACAACAATACAAATACATTGACAGAATAGTTCTTTATACAAACAATGGAAAATGTTATAGAATAGCAGTCTTTGCTGAACCAAAATATTTTCATAAAGCAAAGAAAGTTGGTATAACGAAATGGTGAAAGTTCTTGAAGCAGACAAAAATATAACAACAAAACTGACCGATATTTCTAAAGGTAAGTTTATAATACAATATTATTCAAAACTGGCGTACTGTCAATATTTGACGGAGAGAAGTCAGTTCAAGAACAACTTACTGACCTGCTGCCAAAATCTGCTCGATGGAAGCTGTCGTTATACCAATCTGAGGAGCCCCAGCAGGTTTCATCGAACGAATTTTCAAAAGAGCATCTTCCGTGAAAAGTGCTATTGGTTTTGTAAACTTCTTTGCTTTCAATTCATTTGGACCGTCTCTGTCACCAGTATATTGTATTTGTACAGTACCAACAGTTGAAATACCACCCATAAAGTCTTCTGAGTCAGCAAATGGAATGCCAAGCCAAAAGTTTGAACGGTCTCCATTTGTATATTGAGTGTTTTGAGCTCCTGTATGGGTCCATACTTTCACATATGGCATAATAGAACTTTGCATTTCAGGGTTAATGGTTGTTGTGAAGTTGTTGTTAAAGTTCATAGCATCTAATGTCAAGTTGTATGACCTCATATCCTCAACTGTAGAATATTCTTCTCTTGGATATATTTGCCATCTATGTTTATATGATATTTAATACCAGGGTTGTAGAAACAAGAATAGTCATTTATAGTTCGTCTGAACAGTACAAACATAGTATCTGCATGTTTCATTGCAGTTGTTAAGGCAATATCTGTTCTTGCACCTGGGTCAGCACTTTGGTTTCCAACTTCACCTGCAAAGTCTTTGACAGATATTTGGTGTATAGGGAACATAAGTGGAACTGCAATATATTTGGCAGCTAAAGCATTTGAAATATCTGGGTCCAACATATAGACTGCAAGTCTGCTTTCTATTCTCTTGCATTCAAACTTTTCGCATGTGAACTTAACTGGGTCCCAAGCAGTTCCAGCAGCATTGAAGTAGTAGTTTACTTCAGTGTTGAGGTTTGAGAAACCAAAGTCTAAGTCAACTTTGTCTTTGCAAAATTCGGCGAATGACGTTTGATTTGCTCCCTTTACGTCTGTAAGAGTGAATGGGTCTTGTGTTGGTGCAATGACTAAGTTATTTTTGCTTGGAGTAAGTTCGATAGAAATTTTTCCTGCCCAGTTTGGCAAGTATCTTAAAAACCTGAAGATGAGGAAAGATGACAAAGGAACTCTAAGTTTCAGTTTTACTTTGGTTACTGCTGCTGCAGTTTGTCCAGAAAGGTCAACATAAACTCCTGGAACGTTAGGGTCAAGTCTTCTTATTTTCTCAATAGTTGCATACTGGTCTGTTTGTTCTCTAGCTTGTGGTTGTACTGAGTTTCTCAAAGCGAACCATTCATAGTTTGCCCAGGTTACTGTTTGAACTAAGTCAGAGTTAGAATATATCTTATATCCCATGAAAACTTCTGGAGCATATTGGTATCCGACATAGAAAATTCCATTGCAACCTTTCTTGTCAGACAACTTGGCAGAAGGTTTTATTTCAATGTCTTGTTCCACGTATAAGAAAGAGTTGTCAATAGAAATTATATGAAACCTGTCGCAAGCAATATCTACTGTTGTTGAAGAACCTTCTCCAAACTCACCTACGTTTCCATAAGAAACAGCAGTTGTATATTCGTAAGTTCCAGGAACTATTTCTGACCTTCTAATGGCATTGTCGCATTCGTTATACCATTCGGAAACATTTCCATTCATAGCATCCAAAACTGTTGGCGTTATATTCTGAGCGGCGTACATTTCATATGAGTAAAAATATAGAATAGTTGGATTTATATGTCATAATAGAACCCACGTGGACCAAGCTTTACTTTCTTCCTGACTGAGTTTTTAACTCTTCTTTTTCCTTCATTGCCCTCTGCTTGAAGTTGTTGCATCTTTGCATTATGTTCATCTAGTATGTTGCAAATTTCCCATGTCCTTTTTGCCTTTTGGCTCTGGTCGCCCATCTCAGGTAACCTATATCCTAGAAAGAGTTTGTCATAGTTTGTATTTGAGTCTTTGCGTATTGTTTGCATGACTCTTTCCTGAGTTTCTGGTTCAAGCTCTTCAAACAGAGCTTGTCCATATGGAATAAGCTCGTTTCCAAATATATGTTTTTGTAGCCATTCTGGTTTTCTTTCCATGTTACCAACTATATCTTTTGTGAATGGGAAAGCTTCTACCCAATCTTTCAGTCTTGCGTCGTTTATTTCTGTAGTTGGTTTTATTTTGTCATGGAACATGTTTTTCAATACTAACATTTCATTTGGTACTGTCCATTTGAGTTTTCTTAAATATTCATCCCTTCTCAGTTCATTGTCTGCAAAGTAAGTTTTTATGACATTTTGTAAACTTTCGTTTGCAAGGTCATGTACAATAGGTTCTCTTCCTTCTCCCTCCCTAACTTTCTTTCTAAACTCTTCACCAAATATACCATCTCTATGGTTCTGTGTAGTTCTTTGAGATAAATGTTCTAGAACGTCAGGTGTTATATTTCCATCAGCCATGTTCATTTCATACTGGTCCAAAATATCTGCATCTTTCATATCTTTCAATGGCATTAAAGCCGCGCTTAAAATACCAGCTATGTCTCGTTCACCATTGACTTCCATTGCGTCTACAACTTCTTGGAATTGTGGTTGTAAGTTTATGAACCACCTATCTGGATTAGCTTTATGACCCCATCTCATTGTAGTTCCATCGTCTGCAGAAACAAAAGTAGGTTTGTTTCCATCTTGGTTAGGTTCTGAATGAACTTTAAACAATGTTTCATTTCTATATGTTTTCTTGAAATTTAACCTTTTATCTTCACCGAGTTCATCCGAAGATTGAACGTTAAATGCTCGTAAGTAAAAAGGGTTGTTGTATTTGTGTACATTTTCTTTCAGTACTTTCATTCTATGCTGAATATTTTCATCTGGTGCTGGAGTCTTTTGTATGTCGGCAAACATTTTTCGATATTCTTCTACTATGTCAGCCGAATTTTTTTTAGACTCTTGGAAATATTCCATATTCTCCGCATACTCTTGTTGAGGGTCAAGATTTTTCGGCTGTTCCAAATCTTCATCTAGTTCTGTGAAGTTAGTTTCCAAAGGAAGGACTTGTTCGTTTCCTTCAGGCTCTTCTAGCTGTTGTTGCTGAACTATTTCTTCCATGTCTGGTTGTATCTGAACTAGTTCTTCCTGTGGAGTTTCTTGTACCTCATCTGCTGGCATTTCATATATTCCGAGACCGTTTTCAACAATTTCCCTATCTACGTCATCCGCATTCATAAGCTTTTGTTCTTTCGTTCCGTCTCTATTTTTTACGCGTTTCATGACGAAAGTTGAATTGTCATTTAGCTCTGACATCAAATATCTCGGAGTAAATTCATCCATGTCATTTGGATGATATGCTATTAAATCATATCCCTTAGCGAGCTTGTATTTTCCAGGTTTGAGATTATATCCGTTTTGGTGCTGAGCCATAAAGCTAAATAGGTTCGGGTCAGTATTTCCATCCTTGAACTTTCCAATAGCTTCTTTATATCTGTCACTAAAGTCAACAGTATCTGGGAAACCACACTCTTCTTTAAGCATTTTTAAGAATTCTTGGTTTCCTTGTTCTCTACTTCTTTTATGTCCTTGCTCTGTTTGTGGTTGTTGTTGTGCAGGGTTTTGAACTGTTGGTTGTTGTGCAGGGTTTTGAACTGTTGGTTGTTGCGTTGGTTGTTGTGTTGGTTGTTGTGCTGGATTTTGAACTGTTGGTTGTTGTGTTGGTTTTGGTGCATGCCTGTGTCTATGTCCATGTGACGATGTAAATGTTTTAGGTAGTCCTGGTGCAGGTGCTTCTCTTGGAGGGTTTGGTGGTATATAAGTTCCACCAGCTGGCACATATGTTCCATCTGCAGCGTAATGTCCTACCTGACTTTTCGTTCTTAAGAAAGCATTTACTAGGTCTGTTTTGGTCTGTTGTAACTCTTTTTCTTGACTTTTCACAACAGTTGCTCTAACGGCGTCATAGGCACTTTGAACTGCCTGTCTCGTTGCTGCATCTGTTATTTTCGTCATATTTTGTGCTACTTCTTTTAACTCTTTGTCGAAACCTTCAGACTTCAGTTTCTTTCCAGATGAGAAGTCGTTCACTTGTTTCACCTTACTATGAAGAGCTTCGAAAGCGTTCTTAAAGTCAGCATTTGTTAAAGCTTCATTTGAACTGTCTTCATCCGCTTGTATTTTTGTCCTTATTGACCCTATAAGCTGGGCTGCTTTAGCGTTGGCTTGGGCATCTAACCAGTCATTGTTAGCTTTTATATATTCTGCGCTTTTCATTGCCTTTTGCATAGCCGCGTCGTTATTTTTACTTTCTTGTGCTAAGTTTTCATACTGTACGGTTTGGTTTTGCAACTGTAAAAGTTTTTCTGCCTTTACATTTGCTTCAACTTCTTTTTTATACTCATCGCTATCCATATATGTCTTCAGGGCTTTTTGTTTTATCTCTTCATCTTTCAGTATTTTATATTGAGTAGTATGGTTTTTCAAATTTATGACATCTTGTTCCATTTTTGCTACTTCTGCTGCTTTTTCTGACACTTTTTTCGCATATTCCTCTGTACTTAGTTCTTTCAGTTGTTCTTCTTTCTTCTTTTTCTCTACGTTTAACTCATTTAGTTTCTTTGTGTGTCTGTCATATTCTAGTTTCTTTTCGTTTTCACTTATTTGCTTCTGTATGTCTATGTTTGACTTTTTGACATCTGTTATTTGATTTTTGAGTGAACTCAAATTCATTTGACTTTGAGGGTTATATGCTGTTCCGTCTGCAGCTCCACCATAGCCTGCCATTTTCGCTAAAAGTGCCGCTCTTAAACCTCCACTCTGTGCACCAACAACTCGGTTTAAAAGCATAGGATTGCTTGACATTTGTTGCAACATAGTGGGGTCATTCAGCATTTGTTGTTGCAACTGTTGTTGTGGTGTCAGTTTTACTATTGGATGTTTCAATGCTCTCTTCCTCTTACGTATATTCTTACGTAGCTTACGTGGCATTTTAAGTGAAGTTAAAAAGCGGTTTTTGACAGATGTTTATATGACACTTTTTGTTCAGCACAAAAAACTACTCGGTCAAAGTGTTGTCAGTTTTGTAAAATAACCGTCTTATCTCATTCTATAAGGGGGAAAGTCTTCTCAAAGTATACTTCCTTGGAACGCCTGTAACTTTTCCTGTAGCGACGATAGACCCTTACTTGTCCAGACAAAGCTGTACTATTTTGAGTGCTCTACAAAAAAGTCAACGGCGACGACTCTCAAAAACCGTTGTGTAAAAAGTTTTACCGTTGGACAAAAAAGTATGTATAGAAAACAAAAAACGTTTATAGTTCATTCAATATTTGAGATGGAACGGTTTGCCAACGGAGACCTTTCAATAAAATAAAAAAATAGAGGGGGTTACCGTTGACGAAAACGGTTTATTTTAAACTTTTCTATGAGTAGTCCGAAAAAAACAGTTTATTTTTGTCTAATGGAAGCCAACATTAACAATTCTCAACCGCTAACCAAAGCCAAAGCCCCACAACCTCCAAGAACTGGCACAGCTGTTAGAATAACCGCCAAAAAGTCTAACAGCGAATTAAGAGAAATTCTTCAACAAATTTGCTCTAAATATCTCAAAGACGCCGAAGAAAACACACAACCAGACGCTATATACAATACTCAGTTCTGTGAAGTTCTGAACAAAGCAATTGCTAGTTCAATTGAACTTACTAAGACAATTCCAAGTCCAATTGAGCTTAGCGATGTCTTAGTTCAGTATTTTCCAACATTTACTAAGCTCATAATGTTGAGAACTTTATACCAAGTTCGTCAAAATCTTCCTCGTTACATGCAACGGTCATTCGACAAGAGAATTGCCGAATTCCAAGTCTTTAGTTACGGATATGACCAAGATGAATACACTGACGAGTTCGGAGACAACTGTACAAAATGGTTTGACTGCTATACGACTACACAATTTGAATTCGACTTTCTCGAATTCAACGCAGCAACCATTTATATCATTGCTCTTTACCTTTCCGAACAACAACAAGACCTCGCAGATGGAGATGTTGTTACTGTCGTCATGGAAACTCCTGAACAATTCGGAAAAAAGAAGTCTCTAATTGCCAAATTTGTTCCAGGACATCAGCTTTTCCAACGCACAGAAGTCTTCTGTATTCCTGGAACTAAGTTCTTTGTCAGGAGCGAACTCAAAGAAAGATATAATGTGTCATTCAATTACACATTATATAATGTCTTCGACCCAGAAGAAGACTTCTTCCCAGAAGCAATGGAGGAGGAAGAAGAGGAGGAGGAAATACAAGACTCAATCCAAGAAGAGTCCTCCGAATTCACACCAGAAGACTAACAATTTTCCGAATAAAAACCTCATTTTTTACTAAACATCTTCGGGGCTAGAAGGGGCGCAGCCCCTGGAAGCCCCAATACCTTTTTTTTTTTTTTTTTTTTTTTTTTTTTGTTAAAAAGAGAAATATTTGGCTAAATCAATTTGATAACAAAACAAAAAAAATAATATTTTAAAAAACACAAAAAATAAAATAGAAATAAAGAAATTAAACGTATTCTTCCTCTTCTTCATCATCATTTTCGTCATTTAAGTTCAATTTCTGGCAGAGCAGCTCAGAAAACTTTTTTGGAGCTGTTGACACCTTTTGTGGCTTTAGAACAGCAGCTCTTGGAGGAAGTTCCTGCATTTGTACTGAAGGAGCTCCAGGAAGGTGTCTCAAGTTCTCAACAATTATTTTGTAGATTCCATCCAAGTATTCATCGGAATTCTTGTTCCTCATTCTTGGATCAGGTGTTAAATGGAGGTTTGGACACTGTTTGACTAAGAATGGACTGTAATCTGTTTCAGGAAGATTATTTCCGACGTCAACACCACAAAGAAGGGATGTTTCGTATGCCCAACATCTTGCAACAGATTCCTTAGTGTATCCACCACCTCCACAAACCAAAAGAGGTATTCCAAACGATTTTACGTAAGATACACATTCTCCATGGCCTTTTGTTGAAAGATTGAAGAAGCCAAGACGATCTCCAACGAGAGAATCGGCTCCACATTGTAGTAAAATGGCTCCTGGCCTGAACCATTCGATTAAATGTTTAATTATCGGTTTGAAAATTTTCTCGTAAGCTGAATCAGTTATTCCATCTTGTAGAGGGACATTAACTGCGTAGTATTTTCCAACATCAATGCCAACATCATAAATGTGGCCAGTGCCTGGGAAAAAATCTCTCGAAAATTTATGGAAAGAGCATGTAAGAACGCGATCTGAGTTGTAAAATGCTTCTTCAACACCATCTCCGTGATGTATATCGATATCAATGTACATTACGCGTGGATGATATTTTAATAATTCGATAATTCCTAGAACGCAATCTGCGATATAGCAAAATCCACTAGGATGATCTTTCGCAGCATGATGGAGACCACCTGCCCAATTGATTGCGATATGGCATAATCCGGAATTTAATCTTTGGGCGGCGCAGATACTTCCACCAGCAGATATTTGACAGTATTCAAAAATGTTCTCGAAAATCGGACAATCGTCTCCTATATTGAATCTTTTTAATTCACTTACTGGATGAGATGAAACATTATGCGGATTTGTTGTTCTTAAAAAGTTGATATAGTCTAGAGAATGAAATTTCATCATTTCTTGTGGTGTGGCGTGCCTTGGTCGAAAAATTTCTAAGTGTTCATGTAATCCGTAAGCGAGAACAAGTTCGTGTGTCATACGAACTCGAATTGGCTTCATTGGGTGTCCTTCGTCATAATAAAAATTTCCTATTTCTTCATCATAAAAATAGGAAATTCTATGTTTTGACATCGAACAAAAAAAAATGATATTTATTAATATTGACTTGTAAACTTTATAATTTATTTAATTATTGTTATTATTACGGACAAAATAATAAACAATTAAAATCTTGATGATTTCTAAATTGGTTACTAATCTTATTTATTCTGTAGAGCAAAACATATTCATGAATGGTCGAGTAGATGCGTCTAAATCAGCCAAATGCAGATTAAATAGAAATATATATACCTGAAAAGATATAACAGACTTTGTTGATTCTTTTGTATTTGAATAACGGTATGGAATCGTATTCTGAAAAGGAATTATCGAAGTTTTCTTGTATGAGATAATCAAGATATTTGTTTCTAATGATACATATGTAAATTACCCTCAAAATTGGGCATATAACTATGGATGTTTAAAGATTTTTCAATTTGCTGAATATAGAATATCAAATTAGATCTTTTTCAATGTAATCATATATTTTAATTTGCACCATGCAATAGAAGAAGTTCTTCTATTTCTCTGCAATTATTCTCCCTTGCGTGTTGAAGTGCCGTCATTCCAAATGTAGTTTTATCATTAATACTTGCACCACGAGAAATAAGAAGTTCGGCTGTTTCTTTACAATTATAAAGCACTGCATGAATCAGAGGAGTTTCCCCAAAGCAATCTTTTTCATTAATGTTTGCACCGTATGAAAGGAGAATCTCTGCCACTTCTCTACAATTATTATGTGCTGCAATACGAAGAGGTGTTTTTCCACTATAATCTTCTTCATTGATGTTTGCACCATGTAAAAGAAGAAATTCTGCTACTTCTGTAAAATTATATTGCGCAGTAATATGAAGAGCTGTCGATCCATTTTTCTGATTGATATCTACACCAAGAGAAAGGAAATATTCACAAAGAGAAGGAATATTAAACATTACTGAATAATCAAAACATCTCTTGATACTATCAGTTTGATCTAAATAAACTAAAAATGATTCAAGATTTTTATATTTTATGCAGCAATCTACATATATATTTATATTGTATTCATTCATCAAGAATGTAACAAAATCAATGTTGTGGGAAATAATTGCACAAATCATACAATCTATATTTGGTTTTTGATATTTCAAACATTCGCTCATGATCTCTGGATTCCCTCCTAAAAATGAATATTCTAGGCATTTTTGAGTTATTTCTGAATTAAATTTCGTTCTTAATAACTTGAAACAATCAACTGCTCCGTGGTAGCAACATAATTCAAGTAATGAATGTCCTCCATAATTTGGATATAAACTGCTTTTAAGTTTTTGATCTTTATCAAATCGATCACTTTCAGTGAAATATATAAATCTTTCTTTGTCATCATACATAATTGCTCTATAAATTGTATTTTCCGAATGAATATCGATATTTTCATTTACCTCGAACCTGTAAGGATTATAAGTGTCTAATCTAAATCCATATTCTTTTTCAAAAAGGCAGATAACAATAAGAGGAACATCTCTAACCTCTTTTTCATGATATTCATCAGATATACGTTTTACAAGTTTTAAATATGACTTTGCATAACGATTATTATACTGAATAATATTTAAAATGTCTCTCATAATAGTTTTGGGAAAATAAATCTTTGTATCAATCAAATTTGTTTTGACCATATTGTAAATCTTGTTTAATTCTTCCGCATCTTCCGTTTTTAATTGATACAACGCTTTAAACGAATCAATATGATATGAATAGATTCTCCTCAATTCGAAGTAATTTTTTGTATTAATCTTTTGGTCAGGCGTTACTGATGTACTTGCACCCATTTAATATTTGATTGCTATAACAAAATTTTAAAAAAGCAGTTTTATAATTTACCACCAAAAATGAATTCATTATATGAGGAAATGTCTCTGTCATGTGGGAAGGTGAACCATTACAATACTTCAAAAGGAGAATATATTTTCTGTCCAAATAAATCAAATAGAGTAATGAATTTTACAAATTCCAATTGAATAAACAGATTTTTGCATTATGCATTTGAGGAACCATCACTACTGTGATTTTGGCAACAAATAAAACTTTCTTAATTCTATCTGCGCTTCGAACCGATCAATGGCCATCAATGGCAAAAATTTTCTCACTGGAATTTGGACTAGTTTTTCAGTTTGAGCTATTAGAGAAGATATTGGTTAATAATTTCTCCGATGACGGGGTTTTTATCATTAAGAAATCTATATATATGCAATAAAAACATAATATTGGTATCAACATAATAACTAGATATAGTTTAATTTGAATAGCTTAAAATACATATGATAGCCAGAAAAATTATTTGATTAAACATAGATAAATGCTTTACTTTGAACTACTAAACAGATATAAAATGCTAGGCCATAATGAAAAAAATATATGAAAGTTAGACTTCGAAATTCTTTTCACTTATTGATCTTTCAGCTGCTTTATCTTTCTTAATCTTGAAATAGATCAGTCCTATTATAACGCCGATAACTATTATTACAATAATGGTAACTATAATAGGTACAACAATATTCTTTGAATTCTTATCTTTTAATCCCATTTCTTTTTGGTTAACTGGATCAAGACCTAGTTTATGCAATCTAGATCCTTTCTTAATTGAATAGTCTCCATTCTTGAAATCTGCAAAGTCTTCTTCTGTTGCATTGATATAGTTATTGACATAGACTTCTCCCATTGTTGATTTTCCGTCAACTTTTGTTTGAAGTAAAGTTAGATTACTTTTTGTATAAATGTGGCAATTATCGAATATATAAGCTGAAGGAGGAATTTTTGGAATTTCAACAGTATTATTCTTATAATAATTATCAATAACTGATAAGTTTGGATATGATGTAATATAAGGAGGTAGATTTCCTCTAATTTTGGGATCACCACGTATTTTATAGAACTTTGGTCTCAAAATTGGATGGAAGAAATCTGCCTGAGCAGCGGCTCTTGCATCAACCCAAATACCAATTCTTCCATTAACAATAATATTGTTTCGTACGTAGTAATCTCTTCCTCCTCCAAGGGCAATTGATCTATCGGAATTAACAACTATATTATGTGTAATAATTGCACCACTTTCAACATCATCCATGTAAATACCAAAATGCTCCATTCCTTCTTCATACAAATCATGTATATAATTGTATTTGATTGTGTTGTTTCTTGTTGTATAATCAACACCTGCATAGATAGCAGATTGTGGGTAAGGAGAATTAAGTAAATAAGCAAGCTCATTATATTCAAATAACATGTTATTTCCATCATAATAAATTCCCTGGCTTGGCCCATGATGGATATAGCAATGAGAAATGGTTACTCCAACACCATCTATTCTGAAAGCTTGTGTCATTCCATCCCTACTCATATTGCAAAACCAATAAACTTCTGTATTGTAAACAATTGAATTGGAATTCATGAGTGTTTTTCGATCACCTGCGTTACGAATGTCCACTCCAAAATGCATCACGTTATGAATTTTACAATTTTTAACTGTGAAATCATTAGTACTTGAAAATGATATTCCATTAAGACCAAGATTGAAAAGATGGCAATTTTCAATTAATACATTATCACAATTGTAGAAGCCAAGTGCATTTCCAGCTGAGCATTCGATACTTATATCTTTAATAACTATATCTGTTATAGATTTCGCAGCAATTATCGTATTATTGAAATTTGATAAAATTATTTCGGATTTTGAGGTAATTTTATCAAATGGATAAAAATATAGTATCTTTGTGTCTTGATCTATATAGAAGTCTCCTGGATATCTAAGTTCTTCGAAAATATTATAAAATACAACTTTGGCCCATTTATCAGCTGTTTGGGAATTTACTAAATAAACCTTGTGGTTGTTGTTATCTATTTTAGAGACTTTTCTATACAATCCTGTGTAGCCACTCCAATATCCCCAAGCCATGATATTTGGATGGAATTTCCATGTAAATATTCTACTGTCATTAAATTGTACACCGTTCTTGAGATTAACAGGATATGGACCTGGATCAGATGGTGAAATGTATTTTCCAAATCTTGGATAATGAGCAAGATTCATTTGTTGCTGATCAATATATAAGTTATTATGTGATGAGGATGTAGTAATATTGTATCCGATTTCATCAAATGGTAAAAAATTTGTAATTCCAAATTCGCTGAGATCAATTTGATAGATTTTCTCTCGTACACTTTCATCAAGTCTGCTAAGAACATTTTCATCTTTGACCTTTCGTGCATTTCCAAGTTTAATTCCACCAATTAAACGGACTTTACCTTTTCCATCGATTTTCGTGTGGTCATTTTTAATTATAATAGGCTCTGTGATAAAGTTCAAACCGGGTTTGAATGTAATTTCGTGATAATCTTCACAAGAACTGAGAAAAAGGAGGCAAAATAACATTTTGATCATATTTTTTTGTCTCTCTCAAATTGATAATGTTACCCGAACATAGAAATCATACATTGTTCTCGAATTCATCGTTACCATGTATATTCAGTCATGATTGTTTTTCAATTCAAATATAGAATTGAATCCGATTAATGCATTCGAAAATGTGTAATATCTAACAGGATTTTATTTACCAATTTTTATACTCATTCCAAATTTTGAATACCTTTTAAATTATTCTATGAGATTAAAAAACGAGATTGGGACAAAGTTGCAATTCGGCACTTTTTGTAAAAAAAATGGGGTCATACTCATAATGAATAGAGACTTATAGCCAAGTCTTGATATCATGCAGGGAGAATATACATTGATAAGCAATTATATTTTATAGTAGTAGTATTCAGAAATTCTTACAATTTACAATACAATTTTTCAAAAATGTGTTGTGCATGAAAATTCGGTTCACTTCACTTCTGACAAAAGTGACAAGTTTACATGGCAAAAAATAGTTTACATGGCAAAAATATATAGGGTATTTTTTTTAAAAGTAGTTATCTTTATATATAAAAATAAAACTTTTGATATATTTGAGTAAATGATTTATTAATTTATTTATTTATTTTTTTTAAATCAAATCATATAAATATATATATACATATAATAGTGAAATAGAACAAGAGATAATTATTGATGATTAAATTGTAGACGAGGATAAAAGTTTAGATAATTAATAAATTAGTGTGGAATCAGACAAATTTCGGGTTGTTTGGGAAGGAATTGTTGGCTATGATGTACTGATTCATGATCAGTACATCATAGCCAACAATTCCTTATACAAAGTTCAAAAACTTGGGTGCAATCAGTTCTGATTGCACCCAAGTTTTTGAACTTTCTCGAGGGAATGGAAGGGTAAGAGGTATATATTCATAATGTATACCTCTTACCCTTCCATTCCTTCGCAAACAGCGGGAAACTTTGTCTGAATGTTAAACTATTCAGACAAAGTTTCCCGCTGTTTGCGAAGGAATTGTTGGCTATGATGTACTGATTCATGATCAGTACATCATAGCCAACAATTCCTTATACAAAGTTCAAAAACTTGGGTGCAATCAGTTCTGATTGCACCCAAGTTTTTGAACTTTCTCGAGGGAATGGAAGGGTAAGAGGTATATATTCATAATGTATACCTCTTACCCTTCCATTCCCTCTCTGACAGCGGGAAACTTTGTCTGAATGTTAAACTATTCAGACAAATTTCGGGTTGTTTGGGAAGGAATTGTTGGCTATGATGTACTGATTCATGATCAGTACATCATAGCCAACAATTCCTTATACAAAGTTCAAAAACTTGGGTGCAATCAGTTCTGATTGCACCCAAGTTTTTGAACTTTCCATTAACAATTGTTCAATCACATTTATACAACCCAAATCTATACCAATCATACTCTTATTCATACATCATATTTTAAAAACTTTTTTGCAATATGATATATGTAAAGTGTCAAAAATGAATTGAACCGAATTTTCATGCATTACACAATTTTTCAAAAATGGATAAAGACTAATAGCCAAGTCTTGATATCATGCAGGGAGAATATACATAGATAAGCAATTATATTTTATAGTAGTAGTATTCAGAAATTCTTACAATTTACAATACAATTTTCAAAAATGGATAAAGACTAATAGCCAAGTCTTGATATCATGCAGGGAGAATATACATTGATAAGCAATTATATTTTATAGTAGTAGTATTCAGAAATTCTTACAATTTACAATACAATTTTCAAAAATGGATAAAGACTAATAGCCAAGTCTTGATATCATGCAGGGAGAATATACATTGATAAGCAATTATATTTTATAGTAGTAGTATTCAGAAATTCTTACAATTTACAATACAATTTTCAAAAATGGATAAAGACTAATAGCCAAGTCTTGATATCATGCAGGGAGACTCTCTACAAATACAAAAATTGATTATCATAAGGAAATACAAATTTATCAATTTTCATGTGAAAATTACATAAATTTGTTCTCCAATAAATAGCAATAATACTTTGAATGTTATATTAAGTAATATAGCTTCAGGTAAATAAGCTTACACTTCAAAAATATACTGTTTATTCATTAATTTTAAAAAAAGTCCAAATTATCTAATCTTGCTTACTCTTCCTTTAAACTTCTTTGTGCCAAATTTAATATTGCCTTCAAAGATGGAATAAGGACATTAGGTTCAATCCTTCGGCTTTCGACAATTTCCAAAATGTGTTGAATTAATTTCAAACATTCATCGTGTTTTGAAGCTCTTTGCTCAACAATCTGATTACCTGCCCTTGTAAGAATTCTTACTGCTCTATCTTCATTCAAAACATTAGCGACTTGAACCTTAATAATCGCATTTGGAATCACAACAGTGATGAGAGTTATGACGATATAAAAAAATATTTTATTATACTCATTCGAAATTAAAAATAATAAAATTTATATATATTAATTTCATTAAATCAAGGTTAAAAATCTCACCGGAAAAATAACCTCAGTGTGATAGATTTATCACCGGAAAAATTTACAATAAGGTTAATACCGAAAATATCGAAAAATCAACATTTAAGGTTAATTTAAGAGTATGCACTTTTGTCACCTACTCATTAAAAAACAATCTATTCTAATACCTTTCAATGGAGCTCTTTATATAAAATTTATTTGGAATTCAAGCGTTGTATCTATCTTTCACATTCCATATTGCTTGTTTACATTTTTTTATTGATAATTGATATTTCAATCTAAATTAATTTACATGAAATTACAGACACGCTCCTTTTCGTAGTGATTGAAAGGATGGAAATTGTTCATAGTATGTTTTCTTCTTATACGCCCAACAAACATATCATGTGATTTTTTGTCCGAATGAGTAGAATAAAGTTTGGTGATCTATAGTGTGAAGAGATATATTCATTACATTCTTTTATGCAAAAGTAAATAACCAAACTATTAACTTTTCGCTAAAATTTAGAAATTCAAACTTGGAAATTGAGTCATTTGATAGTAATAATATGTTTTTACTACATAAGTAGATTTCTTTATAGAAAAAACTCCGTTAGCCGCGAGTTCATAAACCAGTTTCTTCTCTAATAGCTCAAACTGAAAAACTAGTCCACTTTCGATTGAGAAAAAAAATTGACATTGATAATTGAATTTAAAGGTTTTTGCTTAACTTATATATATATTCACTACATTCCTTAGTTCATTACTTGTATATGAGCATTTAAAATAACCAAACTATTAACTTTTCGCTAAAATTTAGAAATTCAAACTTGGAAATTGAGTCATTTGATAGTAATAATATGTTTTTACTACATAAGTAGATTTCTTTATAGAAAAAACTCCGTTAGCCGCGAGTTCATAAACCAGTTTCTTCTCTAATAGCTCAAACTGAAAAACTAGTCCACTTTCGATTGAGAAAAAAAATTGACATTGATAATTGAATTTAAAGGTTTTTGCTTATCTTACTTTCATCGGAATATTGTTTAGGGTAGTTATTAGTATTTTTTATCTCAAATGTTATCAAATTCAAAATTTCAAATTTGATAAACATATTTCTGCATTATGTCTGATTTTAAATGAAATGAATTATCAGAGAGATATAGATTCTTATTAAAATAACTTTTTTTTAACAAAATATTTCAATATTATTTTTTTATCCATTATGTATAAACACATGTAAAGATCCGTCAGCACCGCCAATTGCGAAATAGCTAGTTTTCGCGTCGCTCGTTGTAGCTGTCGAGCAAATTGCGCTTTCTCCAAATTTTTCTCTTGAATAGACATCAGAGAAGACACAATCGTAAGGGGGATTAGAAGAATAAACTCTTACTTCTCTTGCCGTCGATGTTGTAATGTAGCATTCTCCATCAGATGTAATAGAGCAAGATTGTAAGTTTTTCTGTGATGCTTTGATCTCATGAATAATTTCTCCATCCTCCAAAGAGACAATTCGGAGGAATGAATCACCGGAAGTAACTGTCATAATATTATCAACGATATTAGAGATAGTTTCGATTGGATGATCAATCTTTATCTCCTTTTCAAGCTTGTTGCTATTAAATATGAGTATTTCGCCGTTCTGGCATGCGACTACGAAGCGATTTCCTTCAATCCATCTGCATTGAACGGGAAGAGACTTAACAGGGAGGTCCTCTGGCTGTGGGTTCTCACAAATGTTCCAGAGCTTGGCAGTTCCATCAGCAGAAACTGATACAACGCTAGTTCCATTTGTAGATACTCCCCAAACAGAGTCTTTATGGAAGTCGTACTCGTAAATTCTGTCGTGGCATACATGGCCACGTGTATCGTATAGAGCAACAGTAGCTTTCGGTAAGTCCCAATAACATATTGTTCCATCTACAGCTCCACTGAGCATATACTGTCTATTATTAGCTTCGTATTGCGCTAGACATAATACAGGAGTTGCATGGCCACGTAATGATGCGAAGTTAACTGGATTTTTCAGTTTCTTACCTTTAGAACTCGATGGTTCGCAATTTGTAAGTCGAATAGTACCATCATCACTTGCTGAAATGATAATTGGCATCGAATTGTAAAAGGCTAAAGCACGGATGGCATCTAAGTGAATATTTATCGAATGTTTGAAAAGCGCAGGAGCGCCTGAACCCGCAGATTTCTTGCTTGCGCCTTTTCGTAATTTCCTTTTCTTTTCTGTTGCCGGTGGTGGAGATTCTGGAAGAGGCTGCGGTGGAGGAGTCGAAATTTTAATTGGAGAAGGTTCTGGAAGAAGTTGAATTGGTTGTATTTCGATAAGTTTTGGAGCTTTCTGCTCGATATTACCTTTATCTATTATCATTGGAAGTGGTTCGATCTTATGTTGAATTTCTTGAGGTTGAGGTGGTGCCGGTTCTGGTTTCTTTTCTTCCGGTTCTTGTCCTTTGGCTATTGCAATCTTTCGCTTTAAGTCATCGATCTGTTTATTTAAAGAGGCTTCGCATAATTTAATTGCTCCATTTTGTCCCATGCATACTGCAATTTGATGCTGAAGCTGGTCACGCAATGCAATCCACTCTTCCTCCTTTTTGCGATGAAGAACGACGCGGGCAACGACGTCCTTATAAAGAGGCTGATTTTGCATTGCGATATTGAATTTATATTTTTTTTTCTGTCAATATCGGTGTAGAGCTAGAATAAATATTTCAAATTAAATATAACATGTATAAGCACCAAAGATGCTTAATATATCAAAATTAATGGATAATTGACATAATAATCTTGAAATTGAATCCATTTCACCTTTAAGATATGTGTTTTGATGAACAAAAGGATATTGATGTAAGGTTCCATGCCATTTATATTCATACGCATAGATATAACTCCTATTCATTCGATCAAAACAGGAAAATCTGAAATTTTTTAACTATGATAAAATAATAAAACACTCAAGGGGTAGGCCCATATGTTGTTATTGTTATTGGTTATAATATATATTTGCTTTAAAATGTATTATTAGTTGAATTTTATTATACTATTTGAAAATATCTCTAATTCCTATAGATGTAAGATAATGTATTTCTATGGATTAAATGAAATGTACCATAAATGAGTATAATTGTTAAAAAACAGTTGTAATTCAATCGAAATATAAGAAATCATGATTTTATATACAAACAGATAGAAATAACATAAGAGTATGTAGTGTTATGAAGTCTTGAATAAGGATTATTCTTTGACATATTAAATAATATAAAAATAACGCTAAAATTAGCATGATTTGAGTGAATTCTCAAACTTTTGTTCTTCTTCAATGAGCCAAGTGTCATCCTCTAATCCATAATATTCAGCATCAACTTTCTTCATTAATTCTTCTTTGGTAACTTTTTTCTTTGTAATTTCATCTTGTTTTCTTTGCTTTTCTTGCTCTATTAATTCTTTGACGCCAGGAAGTTGCCTAGCTCGACCGAAATATTGATATTGATTAAGATTAGTATTTAAGATATCTCCATTAGGTGTGGCCACACCAACTTTTGAGTAATCAATGCCTCCTAATTCAATTATGCGTAATTCCCATCTTCTAATTTTTTGTAATTCTTGATTGCAATAATCGTTTAAATATCTTGTCTCATCGTCAGGTAAAGGCTCCGTGTATAATCTTTCGATGTGATCTTTAAGTTCTTTTGCAAGATAATTTCTCCATTTTTCTGCTTCAGCTAATGTGAGAACTGTCCCTGGATCTTTTGGCATTTCCCAATAATGGGCGAACTTCTCCTCTCTTCGTAATCGAACCCATCGGTTCAAAAGGTCATTTCTCATTTCACATGGTCTCATTTTGTTATTTTGACAAAAATAATTTGGGATTCATTTCATGTGAATTCTCATACCTAATGAATAGTTCATTCTGGTATTAAATGATGTAAATATGCATAGCCTACACGCTGATGAGAAAGAGGTTCTTAATATTTAAAATGCAGATTCTTTCATTATATGTTTCATCTAGGCATTTGTATAAGTAATGCTTACTGATAGTATAGCGAAATTGAGTATGTATCTAATCTAAATGTACACAAATGGAACATTATTTCAATTTTGATTAAAATCATACTTGATAATTATGTGGTGATATGAAAACGCTTTTGATCGGACTTGAAATTCAAAAGGAATGTATTGAGTGGAAGAAAAGTCAATAGATACCATTTGATATTTAATATTAATAAATCAGAAACTAATATCCATTTGAACATGAATTCTTACATCAATTGATTTTCAAAAAGACCTTTGAAATAAGCTTATGTGGATAATAATTTCATTTTGCAAAGTCTAATATAATCGTAATTTCTTTGAAAACTGTGGTATTTAGCTTTGCACATATTAAAGATGTTAATTTTATTCTTTTTTTAAAAGTAATAAAAATTGAATGGATTTTACGGTTTGGTCTGGCCTTTTTAGGAATGAAAGCACAGCGTTGCACAAAAGTCCGCCGCATCATCGAGACAGGCCTCTTCTATGCCGAACTTAACGAGCTCCTCACACGTGAACTCACAAAGGAAGGCTATGGTGGCTGCGAAGTTCGCCAAACACCAACACGCACAGAAATCATCATCAAGGCTGCCAACACAAAGGAATTCGTTGACAACCACGGCCGCCGTCTCCAGGAAGTCCGCATGATGATCCAGAAGCGCTGGCGCCTTAAGGAAGACTCCCTTGAGATCTTCATCGACCGTATCCAGCGTAAGGGTCTCTCCGCTCTCAACCAGCTCGAGTCCCTCCGCTACAAGCTTATCGCTCGTATCCCAGCTCGTCGTGCTGCCTACTCCATCATCCGCTTTGTTATGGATGCTGGTGCTCGTGGCTGCGAAGTCGCTATTTCTGGTAAGCTCCGTGGTGCCCGTGCTTCCACATCCAAGTATAAAGAGGGCTACATGGTCAAGTCTGGTGATGTTACAAAGCAGTTCGTCACACAGGCTGTCGGCCACATCCCAATGAAGCAGGCTACAATCGGTATCCGCGTCCTCATCATGCTCGCTCAGGACCCATCCGGCATCTCTGGTCCAAAGGAGTCCCAGCCAGATGTCATCAAGGTTCATGAAGCTAAGGACTAAATTTATTGGATTTAGAGCAAATCCTATTATAAATTTATTCAATTTTTCCACATTATTTAGTTTTTAACCTTCAATTTCAGATATTTGATTTTTTATATTAAATCTAAGACATAAAAAACATACTCAGATTGATTAAAAGATATGTGTGTGTCATATTCCGTATTTTATCAAATTTGTTTATTCAATTACATGATTGTTGTCTTCTCTTACTTTGAGTGGATAGTTGCTTAGTTAAATAACGCGAAATTATATTTGACTGTTTTATTTTAATTCGGATGTTTGATGATGCTTCCATCTGGTTTGAAATCAATTCTTCGAAATACATTTCAAACTAGAAAAGAATGTTTTGAATAATTGATAACTATCAATTCTTGAGCCCCTTTTGTTGTGAGTTATTGAAAAGAAGCTCATAATTATGTGCTTATTTGTCTAATTTATTATGATTTTGGTTTTAGATTGTGTTTGGAAAGCGTAAATCGTTCAAATAATACAAATGTTACTTGATCTATCTACTTTTGTCTTTGGAATATTGATATTCATGTGCTAGACATTCAAATCTAATATGATTTTTTTTTATTTTAGTGATGTGTCACTTTTAAAAAATGTGGGGATTGTCAGAGTATAAGGCAGATTTAGAGCAAATCAATAATGCAAACTATACAAACCTCAATGTCTTTTCTAAGGTTCAACCAGGTGATGAAGAGCTCCTTCATCGCTATCATTTCATCAAAGTTTTATCATTTTTCAAGAGAAATGACTTCACAGAGCTTACAAACCATTCCAATATGTATTTAGATTCTATTTATGAATACATGGACAAGTGGAATGAGGAGTATCTTGATCCTGGATTCCCTGCACCACCATTTGACTTTATGCTCTTAGTAATGATGACAAGTACAAATGGTGATGATACATTTAACAAGTTTATGAGACTATTCAGACATTATTCGAAAGTTCTAGCTTATCTGAAAACACAAAATCAACAAAGACAGATTCTCCTGACAGATAAAACAAAAACAGATGAATTTTACATGACAGTTGGTAACGCTGTTTTAGTTGTCCATGGCAGATTAAACTACATCGCTGAAAATATCGTTGCAATTCTTCATTCCACCAGAAAGTACTCGATAATTACAAGTTTCCTTAATGAATTTATGCCACCTGACCAAGTTAATGATGATGAAACGCTCTCCTGCTTCGGCAGAGTTCTGATTTCGATTGGAGACAGAAGTCTTGCTGATAAATACTTCGAAAAGGTTCTTAACCCAGCTCTGAAGACTATCAATAAAGGATACTATCAATTCTTCGATGGAAACTTCGCTGAAGCTGCGAAATCTCTTACTGGAAATTTAGCACCATCAAATGAAGCATGCAACTACTACATGGGAGATTTCAAGACCGATATTTCTGAAAATTCAAATAGTTCGGCCACGCCAAAAAAGCCAACTCCAGAATCTTTGACAAGATGGCCTTTGCCACCATTGCAAGCATAAGATAATAATTTAACTGTAAATAAATCATCTATTATTGTTATTTTAACTATTTTTATTAAATAAATTCGATTTTTGAAAATTAAAATTTGAAATTTACAATCAAACACTTGAAAAATCAGTACCATCTCTATATGCATATCCAATTTGTAAATAAGTCACATGATTGCTATATTTTAAAATTATTACATAGATGATGAGAGATTTCAGATTGCTTTCTGAATAATTCACAACAATTTCAATGGCAACAAACTACAATTTCATGAAAAAATATATTTAATGGCGTCTTCAATTCGTGTTGATAGTGTCTTAATGCTAAAGGAACATTTCTTCTCAATTTTGAGATTGTATTCATTGATTAAAAAACCTCAAAATCTTGCTATATGAAGAGCATAAGAGAATGCTGTCTAAAGCGCTATGTACTCGCAGAGATTAGTATCTATGGTAAATATATTTATTGAATGAATGCAATGCTGTATCCTTGGAAAATAGAATTTTAGAGTCCTCAAAAAAATTTTAAAAAACTATAAAGATTTTTGTTCAATCAGTTTAAACATCTAAAATTTATTTCTTGTATCCTAGTGTCATTAAAATTCTCTTGAATATAAATGCATCAAACTATATAGTTTTTTTCAAAATGCTCAAAATATTTTTCGAACTTATAAACAAGTATAATTAAGGATTCATAATTGTTAGGATCTTCTGATAACCTTGTCTTCTCATACTTGGAGGAGAAAGTGACTTGGTTTTGTTACATATATTTTTATTCTCATCAGGGTGTTCGATGATACTTCCATCTGGTTTGAAATCAATCTTTCGGAATTTAATTTCTTTAGAAAAGAATGTTTTGTATAATTGATAATAATCAATTCTTGAACCAGAATTGTGTAATGAAATAAGACCAAAATAAAATAAATCACGTGTTTGAAGTGATTTCTCTGTATAAACGTTGTCAAAATGTGGAACTCGACCTAAAGGAATCTTTGAAATTTCATTAAGGCTGGGTTTATAAAAGTAAGGGCAATCTTTTATATATTCTGTTTTTACAACTTCAAATGGAGGCTTTTCAAAACTAATCCGCGAAGTAAAAAATCTTAAAACCTCAAGTAAACTTGTGGCTTCATGCATATTCAAATGTATAACAAAACAACCATAATACTTTTCGATAGATGGACCTGACTTGTAAATAACGATAACTTCGTTTAATTTTTCTGGATCTTTATGAACGGCAAACGGAGCGTATGCTTTGTAAATTATGACCTCATAATGATGCTTTTTTTCAACTTCCTTTATTAAATCTGATAATTCATTCTTAATATAATTGCTGAAGTATGCTATAAGGTATGGATTAGAAACATATGAACAATCCGGGGATAGATCAGGCCAATACTTGTAGAATTTTGGAAGATATTCATTATTGATTGTTTTGTCGGAGCACTGGAATGGATGTAACTTATCATATTCAAGCATGATAAAAATGAAAAAATTTTGTCTATTCAATTAATACGGTTTGACACTTTAGAATTTACAATATTTTTTTTAAAAAAAATCATTTGATTTAATGTTCATCAAATAAAATTGAATAATTTCTTTAAATTTACAAGTCAATTTAAAGATGTTCCCTTAAGACGGTTTGCCAAAAAAATTACGAATCATAAATTTTGAATATGTTTGTGATATTTACGCGGAAACATTATAAAATATTATCTGATACGCATGCATATGTATAAAATCCTTGATTAAATGTTGAAAAAGTATAATTACCTCATTCAGTACTACAAAATGGTTTATAATAACTTTTTACTGACAGGAAACATTAGCTTTAAACCTAAAGTTAGTTATGTCATAAATTGAGAGAACGTCAGAAAGTGGTAAGTGCAACCATAAATTAAGAGATGTCAAAAAATAAAACTAAGAGAATGTTAGAAAGTGGTAAGTGCATCCCTAAGTTTAGAGATTAAATTGATATTCCCTATAGCTTTCTTTAAACTTAATCCGGTCTCAAAAACAAAATTAACATGAAATCAAGTTTAAATTCTTTATAAATAAAAAAAATCTTAGTCAAGAGGGATGAAAACTACTTTGTCGTTAGTTACTGGCTGATCAGTATAAAGAACTTCGAATACATCGTCGACGAAAGTTGGGCAAAGGTTGCACGCTCTGTGGCAGTCAGGCTGGAAGTTGCACTCCAAAATCACTGGTTGGTAGTCATTCGTAATCATCAGATCAATTCCGTACATTGCTTTTGAGTAAGGAGAAGCAACCAATTTCTGGCAGCCGCACATGAACATGTCTCTCATTGCGATGTAGCATCTGTTCAACACTTCTTCCCATGTAATATTAGGATTCTCGACTGCGAACTGCTGCACGAAATCAACCCATGTCTTTGGAGTGACTTTTCCTGGTGCTCTGTAGTTCATTACAGTGAAATGTCTCTCGTAGTCATCGAAGTCTTCAAGTGCCCATTCCTTTGGAGCAAGTCTTGGCCAGAAGACTTTGTAGGCGTAGAGTTCCATTGGTTTGACTGATTTAAGTAAAACAATGAACCTCAAATCGAATTTTCTGCCGTAAATGTTCAATGGATTCCAAAGATACCTTTGAACAAGTCTTGGGCCAATTGAGGCGTGCCTGAGGACTTCTGATGCTGAATCTGTGCAGATCATGAGATTGGCACGTGCTGTTTGGAAGGCTTTGAGAATCCAAACGTGGGATTGTCCGGATTTCTTGAGTTCCTCGTTTCTCTGGACGAAACGAGCAATTTCCTCTGGCTCTGTCAATATAAATGTCTCTGGAAGCCATGGAACTTGGCCCATGTACTGTGTACATGTTTCGTAGAGATAATCTTTGGCTGTAAGGCATTCCTCGCCTTCGATCTGATCAACGAGGATCTTGGATTCGTAAATGTGCTTCCAGTCATCGAAATTCTTGAATGTGTACCAAATTAAATCGGCTTCTTCTGGAATATCGACTAATTGGAACTTGTCTGAATGTAAGTGCTCGCGGAAGATATCCATATCGATGTATGTTTTGATTGGACGCTTTGAAATAACGCTGGAATGGAATTTTGACTTGAGAGATTTCATTGGAGTTAATGGAGGCCTTTCGGCTGGAACTTCTGCGCCGAGAGGGATAAGAGGGAAGAGATCGGCCTTGATCTCATCAAATGGATTGATAACAGCGACCGGCCAGAAGACAAAATATGATTGGCCGTTCAAAGGAGAACGAACTGGCATCTGGGCGACATTTGGCTCGAGAGAGTGATGGATACTGAGAGCGATTTCATCGCCAAGGCACCAGTATTCGCCAACTGCTTGGATATGATCCCAAATTCTGTCTGGAATTGGAATTGAGACAACATTCTCCTTCTCGTCGGCACCATTGATGAATTGGAGGGATTGTGGTGCTTGTTCTTTGTTGTCGCAGTAAAGAGAAGTCAAAGATGGGATAATTTCTTTGATCTTTGAAACATCGACTTCGTTGTTGGTAATGTCTAAGACGGATAAGTTCTTGAAGTTCTTGAAGGCTTCTGGTTTGAGTTCTGTGATGCCACGACCAGAAATCTTGAGATTTGCAACAAGAGCTGGATTTTTGTTATGGGCGTAGTAGAGGAGGGCCCATTCACCCCAGTTCTTTGTAAATTTGGCGTTGAGAATTTCGAGCTTAGGGCAAAGATCGAGAATTGACTTGTCGATGCCTTCTGCTTCAGCAACTGGGTTGGAACCGATCCAGAGAGCCTTGAGATCTGGGAGCTGAGCAAGAAGACCAAGAATTTCGGCTGGATTTGAGATGTTATTTCCGATCAAGGAAAGAACCTCAAGATGTGGGAATTTAGTAGCGATTTCGAGTGGAGCGATTGATTCGAGTTCTTGGAATTCGATTTCGAGTGTCTTTCCATCACATTTTTGAAGGATTTGCTCTAATGTTAATTCCTGAGCAGCTTCTCCGTATTCCATGAAGGCAGCAAGACGTTCTCTGAGCTGTGTCTGGTTCTTCCACTCAGAGTAGATATCTTTTGGCTTGGCAGCAAAGCAATGATCAGTGATGAAGACATTGCAGCCTGGTGTAAGTGGAGTAGTTTGATCGGCTGGTGTGTAAAGAAGTGTTGGGTCAATTGAAGTATCGATTGAGAAGTAATTTCCACAATCAAATGCTTGATGAACGAGCTTATCATAAAGCATTTGTGCCATTTCGTGTGGATATTGATAAGAAGTGAAACTCTCTGCGTGAGCTTCGAACCATTTATCAAATGGAACTGTTTCTGGTGCTGCTGTCATCAGAAAAAATTGAAGAGACCAATAACGATAGAAAATTTACCGATACACAAATGACTTTATTTTTTTCAGAAAAGATGTGTCCACTCGGAAGTCTTAATGTGTTTGATTGTGATAATAAAATTCTCATAATTTCGCGTCTTTTGATTCAATTGTCTGAAACCAAAACTGAATTCAAAAGCATCTTCAATGATACTTGCAAAAGCATCTGATACTTTGTGAAATTTTACCATGAATTCCTTCAGAATTTACTTATTTGGGCTCATCAAAACAATTGTCAATGAAAAACTTTCAAATGAACTCATAATGCAGTAAAAAATGAAAATAAAAGCAAATGAGATATGAATGACATCACTGAAAATTCCAAATTTTTTTCGAAATTTAAAAAATATAATCAAAAATTGTTGAAATTCTTTTTGAAATCATAAAATTACAAAAAATTTTGAAAATCGAAATAGAAGAATCTTCTTTAATTTTCGTAATTAATCTATATTTATTCATAAATTAATCAAAATATCAACAAAAATTATGAATTGTGTTATTTCATAATGATTTGGTGAATATTATGCTGCAAAAGTATCTTCTTATAACTAATCTATCGAAAAACAAATCTCCTTTTAATAAAAACAGCTACTTAAACATCATTTTTTCTTTTTCATATACATTGTTGTTACTCCATTCAATTTCAAAAGAACCAAATCATACATTTTCAAATAGTAATACTGATTGATAAAACCATGAACTTCAAAAAATTGCATGAAATGCATGATTACATATAAAATCTTCAAAATCTTTCTTGACATAGACTTTCAAATGAATGATTCTTAATCGAAGATACACAAATACTGGTGTGTATGCGATGTTTAATTATAAATTATACCAACTCGTTTTTGAACACAACTTTTCGATTTCAAAATGTTTCACCGATACTGCAGAAGCAAAAAATTCCGACAAGGATGGGAAGTTTTCCATACTGTACGATCTCAACAATACAAAGTACTTGATGAAAGACAACTTTCGACACTACATTCTCGAGTACCCCAAATTACAACTTATAAATGCATAGAAACAGACTTTATCACCTACAGAAGAACCAGAAGTCGAACGTAAATATCAAGCAACCGGGTTTCATCCAAAAATTACTGAATCACCAATGAAAGGCTGGGGAGGCCTTGTAAAGACTACATTACCAGAAGCCATTAAGCGTGTACCTACCACGTATCTTGATGGAAATCCAGGAAACAATACTTGGTGGTATAGTGTTGGAATGTTATGTAATTTTCCTGAAATGTATGACGATAAAGGAGTCCCTGCTAGTGATCAAGTCAAAACTAAACAAGTTTGTCTTTGGAGCGCAATTAGAGAATCATATTGTGATTTTGCTAAATATTCATGCATTTGCTCATTTTACAATTCTTTAACGTTTGTATTAATGTCATACTTATTCATTTGTTCTTGAGCTAAAAGATTCCTTTATCTTAAACCAATTCACATGCTTTTGATCTCATCTCTTGAATAGATCTCAAGTAGCTTGACATTGAAGACATTAATCAGGTTGGAAACCAAAAATTCAACAAAATTCATAATGGATCCTCAAATTTTCTTTTCCTCTGGTTGAAACAGACTTAACTATGACGAGAAAAATATAGAAAATAAACTAAGCCCACCAGTTGAACGTGTTTTTAGTGACTTTGAAGAGCTTGAGGCAGAAAATTAAAGAATCCATGGTATCAGCAGAAATTCAAACAGAAAATTCCGTAAAGAAGTCAAACGATCGACTTTAGTTAGAATCTTTCTTACAGGACCCAACCAATTTCTTAATTTTCATATCAATCTTTTTTATTGCACCATTATTCAAATTTATCAGTTAGAAATTGAAGAAACTATCTTGGACTTTAAAATTTTAAGTATAACACATGAAAATATTATGAGAATTTGAAATTTTGTTTCCAATCATAATATTTTTTAAGAAGATCCATACTTTTGTTAATATTTGGTCTTAGTAGAGTATTTCATATATTAAACATTTATTCAAATAAATATTATATATTTTAATCAACATTAGCATACAAAAATTCAACGGCTGCACTTATATCTCCTCCAGCCTTCTGTAAACACCTGAGAATCTTCTGGTCATCGAAGAATCCCATTGCATGAAATTGATTTAACTCAGGTTCGAAGATTTTCTGAAGAGAAAGCTTTACATGCTTTGGTGGTGGTAAACTGAGTACGTTGAGACCTCCAACAAGCTTTACTCCGTCTAAAATGTCTTCAAATGCTTGAGCAATTTCAGGGTCTTTTAATTTTTCTTTGAGATCATCGTCGTATTTAATTCCGAATGTCTTACATACGTTCTCAATTGTAACTGCTTCGGATTTTGGAGCACATTGGGCACCGAGCATTTCAAATGTTTCAATTAAGCATTGTTCATATGCGGGGTTCTTCTGCAATATAGGATTCTCATCAACTAACTGTCTGAAGTACTTTGGATCGCAGGATAAAGCTTCAAATGTTTCTTGAACCTTTGGATTTTCGATAAGCATAATAATTTCAGTTTGCGTATCTTCACTTCCGCTTTGATCTTGAATTTTCTTGACAAATGCATTGAAAACTTTCTTATGATCTAAAGTTTGCTCGGTTTGTTCAGTTTTAACAACAAGTGCTTGTACTGAATCGCCATTTTGAAATCCGAGGGCCAATAATTTTTGGCTGTTTTTAGCAATTTTGTTTGTTGGGTCAAATACTCTGATATCTTTTGAGGGAATACCTTTTACTGCAGCAATGGCCTTTTTGAGATCAGAAATTGAACCAGTATCATTAACTTCCACTTCAAACTTTTCATCGTTTGGAATGGAAATAGAGAATTTCATTTACTGGATCAAGCCTCGGAGGTTTTTATCGTACTTTAATGACGTAAAAGTGTCAAAATCAAAAATTCAACAGATTTCCAGAAATGAGATGAAAATTTCCCAGAAATCTTAAGTCATTTATAATAATCACAATGCGATGAACTGAAATGCAAGAAATCACATGTGAAAAGTGAGCCCGAAATTTGACGATTATTTTGACAAATCGATAAATGTCCAATTCTGGCCACGACACCGAGGAACAGCAAATGGAATTCTTGAGAACATCTCAAGTTAAAAAGGCTGATACCAGAGGATTTCAGCTTAAGTATATCCCATTTGGCCTCGTTTCCGCATGCTTGACAATTTTGTTATATCTCACAGTTGGCGGCTGCAATCTTCTCGCTGATAAGATTTACCTCGCTGTATCATATGCAATCGGAGTTGTCTGCCTTACAATTGCCTACAGTAATGTTGCCAAATGGTGCCGTATGCAAAAGAAGATGAACGGTTCCCCACTTTTCTTCTCTCTTTTCTACAATAATGCTTTCTACATTTTCTTGCTTGTCTTCTGCGCTAGTGTTCTCTTCCCAGGACTCAAGCCAGCTTACGGACTTGTCTTAACACAGATCATCTCCGTCGGAATCCCAGCTTGGTTTTCCACCCTTCAAATCTAAACATAACCTTATCTGAAATTACACTTTATACAACCTTTTACCCTACAAAATACCCATACTTCATATCATATTTTTTTGAAAGTCAAAATTAGATAATTCAAATCATTGACCTAATACCAGTAATTAATATTCAAATGCGAAATCTCTGATTTTCGAAATTTTTATATTTCGCCTCATTAGAAATCTTCTTTTATCCCTATAACTATAGAATATATTTGCACACCATGAACAGTATGCTCAAATAATTCAATAAAAAGTAATGAAAAATCATAATTCTTTTCATTTTTTTTAAAATATTTTAACTTCTATTTATTATTTCATTAACAATTTAGAGACCATTGAGAAGTAATACCATTTCTCTTAGAATCTGGTCTTGATAATAAAAAAATCGGATAATATTATTTCGTTTTTTTTCTTTTTGATTTTTCTTGTAAAATAAAAGTTATATCTAGTGATCTAAATTTCTGTCATCTTCCAGTCTAGGCTGGCCATCAAATTGTCCATTTGATTGCCTATAATCATCTCTACGAGGGGGACGCTCTGAAGCTTCTTTAAATTCTTCAACCTTAAGTTGACGTCCTCTAAATTCTAATCCATTTAATGCTTCAATTGCAGCTCTGCCTTCTGATTCTTTTGCCATGAGAATATAAGCGAAACCTGGACGTACACCGGAACGCTGAAGTGGAATGATAACAGATACAACTTTTCCATATGGGGCAAAAACTTGTCTAATGTCCTCTTCCGAAAGATTATATCTTAAATTTCCTACATATAACTTGAAATTCTTTTTTGCTAATATCAAATCATCTCTAGGGTCAATGGAAGGAACGATTTTACCACCGCGCCTGCTTGATGAATTGTCTTCGGATCTGTCTGTCATATTTATAAAAATCCCCAAAATATTTCAAAGCACCCCCCTAAAATAAATATAAGTAAAAAAAAGATTTCAACATTCAAGATTTAATCATAAAAATTACAAGTAATTATTGTACATTTAATTAAACACCTGGTGGGGCTGCAGCGAGCCTAATTAATTCTTCAATACTTGGTTGAGCTGTATTTTGCTGACCTGCTTGCTGATTTGCTCCATCACCATCTTCTTCTTGCTGTTGCAACGCCATCCTGAACTGCTGCTGTTCTGGCGGCAAAATAATATTTTTCTTCTCAGCATTTTCATGAGGATGAGTTGTAGTAGATGATATTAATTGTGACGCTGATTGGTCTTTGCTGAATTCTGATTCATCTATAGTTGAACGTATTCTTTTTCTCCTTGATGACATTGAATAAAAAAAAAAGAATTTTTTAGGGGAATTTCCTCAAAGGATGAATATAAGCGCTACTTATGTTTATCAAGTTCGAGAAACCCTATCATGCTTGTGATTTTAGAGTCTACTATTCTACAGCACTTTGGCTATTAACCCTCAGATTGTGAGGTATTAGAGCTCTCATTTGTTTATTTTTTTATAAGCTTGTTCGAGTGTTATTAGCCAAATAAACATATTAGTGCATTTCAGAATAAGCAACATCAATCAGACTGATTTACAGATTATAACGATCAGGAAACCATTGGGGAATTTATGAAAATTATGAAATATTTTTCAAAAATATTCACACATTGTTGAAATAATCAAATCAACTTGTAACCATTTCAACAGAAAGATATTTTGTGTAATTTTTCGCAATAATACATGATTAAACTAAGGATTTTATGCAGATAATATTCATAACTATTTATTTAATGAGAAAATTCATCGATCGGTACTAAAAACGATAATTTATTTAGAATAAGTATTTTGAGAAAAGAAAAGAATTTAAGATTTTTTTATAAGATTAAATCTCTTCAACAATTTCGTTGTTTTGTTTACCATCATCTTCACGATATGGTGTTTCTGTATTTTCCTCGATTTCCTGTGGTGGAGGAATGGCATCATTGTCAGCATCTTGAGGGATTTCCTCTAAAGCAGCCTGAATTTCAGAATTATCGATTGGCTGTGGAGCATCGTCGAGGGCATCCTGAAGTTCCTGAGGGGCGTTGTTCCTCTGGAGGCCCTTCAAAATGTCGACGGCTTGCATGTATAATTTTTCTTCCTTATCGGCGTATTCTTTAAGGATACGGCTGTAAAAGGTGAATGCGTGGTGAAGTCTTCTAACTTTGAATATGTTGTATTGCTCACGAGCGTTGATGAAATCTTGAAGAGCTCTCTTCTTGTCTTCAAGGAGAGCCTTCTTGTTAGCCTTAGCTTTGGCGATGTTAGCCTGAAGAGATTCCTTCTTCTGTTCGTACTTTGGTTGTCTCTGTTCGTATAAATCTTTACCCATTTCATCAATTACCTTGTCGCAAGCAGACTGGTACTTATCTGAGACGTCGTTATAGATTGTAGCAAACTTGTCAACAGCAAGGAATCTCTCATAGCAATCTCTGATGTCATTTGCAACACGAATTTCTTGCTTAGCAAGTTCACGATTGAGTTTGGCGATTGTACGATATGTGACACTGTATTTCTTGAAGTCTGGTGCAAATTCTGTTGCCCAGGCACGAACAAGTTTGTAGATTGTCTTGGCATATGTATCAACTTCGTCGGCATATTTGTTTCTGTTGTTTGCCATAGAGGACATTTGGATGAAAACCTTTTGGATACTCTCTACGGCTGGATTGACTTCCTTGTCGTTGAGCTTAATGCCACGAATTCTCAAATTCCCAAGCATTTGATTCATCATGATGAAAAAATGAACAATATAAAATCAGACGATAGAAAAATTTATATGTCAGGAGATAGAAATCTATCGGTTTTCCGATAACATCAAGCTACAGTCATGTTGCTAATATTGAATTGACTAAGTTATTACCTCATTTTTAATAAGGGTTTCGTTTTGCGAAAAAACGTACAATACACAATTTCGCTAAAAAAACATTTAGCTAGCAATTTCGACCTTTGACTCCACTCAAGACGTCACTTTTTTAATTTTGCGGTATCATATTTTTGGAAAATCTTTATGAATATTATATAAAAAGTCTCTTTAATATCTATATTTCATATTTTTATCGATTTTTCAAGTTTTTGCGAAAAGTATTCAATTATTTTTGCTATTTGGTCGGGTAAATGTCAGATTTGCGACATTTTCTGATATGATATTCAGATTCTACGTTGATAATAATGCTTATAGAACCCTCTTGCTATTGTGTCAAAATTGCGAAACCGATAGCAAAAATATCTCGCAATATCAAAATTGAGATATTGAGTGAATTATGCATTATAGAGATTAAAAATCTGATTTGTGAAAACATCTCATCAGTTTCTAGCTAATTCAAAAATCTTTACTATCTTATTCGATTAAAATGAAAAGGGAATAGTTTCATTATGCTTTAAATGACAGCCTTATAATATAATCATAGTTTTCGCTCAATATGCAGCATTTTTTTTTCGAAATCTATGGTCAATATCCTAAATACTGATTGCTTTGCATTCATATCTCTTACATTTTCTATACCCACATCACTATTCATTGCTATTCCTATCTTTTTCATTTTTGTTTGTTTCTCATAATTTCTCAAAAAACATGATAACTTGATATTTGTAAATATCATACTTTATAACGTAAATAAGAACTTGACCTATTAAGAAAAGCAGTAATGAAAAGAAAATCTGAAATTCATAAAAATTACAAGTTTCTGATGACAATTAGCTTAATTAAACCAGGTACAAGATTATATAATTGTATTTTCTATCCAATTATCCATATAATATCTTATCCAGAAAAAATAACTTGATCAATACCAAATGATTTTTTAACTAGTAAATAAAGTATTTTCTTTACACACACATTGTATATCATATTTTTTTTTGGTTTCGCAAAACATCCAAAAACAAATATGCTATAAAAGTGACAATTTTAGCAAAACGAAACCCTTATTTTTAAATATTTTTTTGAAGAATTACACGAAAGCTTATCCCATCAAACTATTCTATATTATTTACTCAAGAACCTAAAATTCTTTATAGAAGAGTAATTAAGAACTCTCAAATCTCGGTTTGAAACTTATTCTTGGACATCAAATTTTTATTGTGGCAATATTTACTAGACTTAATGAATGCCCACCTACATAAGTCTATTAAGTACATTTTTCTCTTAAGTTTTCTACTTATATCAAATAATTTAAAATCTTCAAGAAGAATGTAATACCTATATTTACTGTTAAACAATCCAATCGACTTGTATAGTTTATAACTAAAGTTTTTGTATACTAATACCAAGGAAAAATACTGTTACTGAGTAAAAACACGTTAATGATGGAAAATTGCATCCCATTCTCGATTAAAAGTCTCAATAACAGACAAAAGTATTGAAATTATATATTTCTCTAATATAGGGTGTCCAAAGGTGCGTTTAGCACAGCGCTCTATATGAGACTATTAAAGGAGATATATGCTGATTATAAATATATAATAAAAAATATGAATATATGTATATGATGAGTATGTTGTATTTTGGCGTCATGCCGGGATATAAAATGAATTTTGAGACAAGAGGCGGTTTCGCGGGAAATTTTGGCGGGATTTTTTTCATTTTTTTAATGAATCATAAAGAAAACATCCTCGCTCTTGCAAAAAAATGCAAAGACTGTAAAAAAATCTACGAGACATTGGTAAAATGCTTCGGTATGGATGCTCCTAGCTATTCCACTGTAACGTATCATGTTAGGATGTATCACTTCATGAACAAAAAGGCGCCCATCATAAAAATTGACAAAAAATCGCCGGATCAAAGAAAAATCAAAGCAATTCTTCAAGCGCTAGATGAAGACCCAAGAGCATCACTCAGAAGGATAAAGGAGATGACAAAGATACCACGTACAACAGTCAGTTATTATCTGCACAATTATTTGAACTACAAACTAGCGTATACACGTTGGGTTCCGCACAACCTTAATTCAGTTCAAAAAAAAATCTAGAGTCCAATCTTCGAAAGAGCTCCTCTCTATATTGGGTGCGTATCAATCCAAGAAGTTTCGCTTTTTAGTAACAGGGGACGAGTCTTGGTTTCAATATGCAACAGAAGCCAAAATCATGTGGATCCCGAAGGATGAAAATCCGCAAACATTCCCGAAGAAAAAAATTGACACACCAATGATGATGTTGTCGGTTTTTTGGGGCGTGAATGGCATCATCGCAATTGATATTCTTCAAAAACCTAATACGATGAATGCTCAGTATCTAATTGACAATGTTCTTACTCAAATTATCAATTCTGATGAGTTTGAGAAATCCAAACAACAAAAACAAAAGTTTGCAATTCATTTTGATAATTCAAGAGTTCACAAAAGTCATAAGGTAATGAATTACTTGTTGGAAAACAATGTCAAAGTTGTTCCAAACCCAATTTATTCACCTGATATTGCACCCTCTGACTTTTATTTATTCGGCACGCTAAAAAAGAGAGCTGAAGGACGCGAATTCGCGAGTCCAGATGATCTTGAAAATTTTGTAAGAGAGCAATTTGAGCAATTTTCTCATGATGATTTAAAGCGTGTCTTTCAAGCCTGGATCGATCGCTGCGAACGCGTGATTGAATCCAATGGTGATTATATTTAAATAAACTTTATATATATGTAACTTGTTTATTTCTATTCGCAGTATTCAGGTTTGTGCTAAACACACCTTTGGACACCCTATATAATGGAGCAGAATATGATGGTAGTATCAAAGTTCTTTTTGATTTTCTCATTTTTTATTTTTAAAATTGATTGAATCTTTAATTTTTCAGAGAGTTGATGGAAATTCAATCATCTGGAGGCACATGCTCCTTAGTTTTGAGGAAGAATACATGAACTCACAGATTCTAATCTTTTTCCAGACAAAATCAATAAAAGTAAAAAGTTAAAGAAGGAAAAACACATCTTCAAATTGCATTAGAATTTGGACCTGAAATGCCAATTAAAAAACTTGAATCGCTTGGCTCTTATCCTATTTTAGATCAAGTACGAAAACTCATATAACTATTTGATGCTAGCCAAGATCTAAGTGGGGTATAAAAATGCCTCAATTCTTGAACATTTCGAGATATTTCCATTTTCCTTCAAGATTTAAGGGTGCACCCGTATGTACGTTTATTTGAGAGGAGGAGGATTACCCTCTCAATTTTGAGGGATTCGTTAGTTTATTTTCTCGATGAATATGCAATAAAATTTGATTTTTACTTTATCAATATACTTCATATAATATACACATGTTCATGTAAAAACTTTTTTCCAAAATCCTCAGGAATTAAGGGATTTTTGAATTTTAAGAATTTTTTTCGAATTTTTTCGAAAAAAAATATTTTCAGAACAGCCTTAACGGCTAAGATTTAGGAACAATGTTAAGTATCAAAAAGAAAGGAGGTCTGATATAGACAACATATATCGTTGAAGGTTGAAAAAATCTCTAATATTTGAGCCCAAAATTTCAAATTTTAATTTTTTGAAAAAAGAGGCCACCCGTATGTACGTTTATTTGAGAGGAGGAGGATTATATTTTTGAAAGGGTGAAACATTATGAATATGTTAATTATATAATAATATGTATTATTATAAAAAAGAAAAAATAAAGCACGTTAAATTTTTTCTTTCTTGATTTTTTACAAAATCTACTTAGAATTATGCAAAATATGACTAAATAATTATAAATTTCAAGTTAAATTTTAATTTTGATAAATAATTTAAATTTCAAAATATCAAGTTCAGTTCGACTATGTATGTAGTAATTCCTCAATAAAGTGCCAAAACCCTATTAAAATATATGAACATTTTCAACATTTTAATGTTTTTATTTAAAAATTTGATGGAATATGAGCTTCAAACAATTATTATGTAAATAAAAATAATTAAATATATGTATTTATTCGTATTACAACCGTAGTAAGTCGATTCTTCCTTTCTTCTACTGAGATTTGAATTTGATTTCGAATTGTAAAGAGATTCAAAGGGAAAATACTAGCGGATAAAAACTACCTCCATGAAAGGGTCATAATGGAGTCAAGTTGTATTTTTTGATATTTTTTGCTTTTCGAGCCTAAATAGGTAGCCAAGATAATGCCTAAAAATAAGGTTCTAAATTCTGAAGTTTACATGATCCTCTCGTGTGCACCCTTAATATACTACCTCATTTGAAAAAAATTTTGCTTCGCAACTCAAATTTTAACACTTTTTAAAAAGCGATTTATATTCAAGGTATAATAGAAAGGAAAAGGAATAAACTTAGATCAACCCTGTATTTTACCCATCTAAGAGCACATATAAAAATCCTAGTTATTTTAATAGCTCCATCTCCTCTATGACCTTCTTCCAAGACACCATCTGGGCTAAGAAATTTCGTATTTCCGTTGTTCATTACAGCCTGCTCAAACACAATGTTAGAGTAGTGGATTTCACTATTAGTATGTACTCCTGTTTTACTCATTGAGTTACACCATTTATACCCGCTGATATAACTCGAACCGCTAGATGATACAGACTTATGCGGTTTTGTTTCTGACAAAGAGGAATTCCCAATATTTCCGCCATAATAACCCCCGCCTCCACCTGAGTCAGGTGTATACAAAAAATCTTTTCCTTTTGCACCATTACCTAAAGAAAAACCGTTTGTTTGATTTGTTTGCGATTTATAAAATTTTTTCGTTTTAGTTATCACAGTCTGATAGCCATACAAATCACCACCTGGTGCACCATATGTATTAAAACATGATCCAGAGCCTCCCGCAGCAACGAGAATTCGACTATAAAGCGATTCTAGATTCGAATTACTAACCAATCTAATATCAGTTGCTCCGCCACCGCCACCTGGCTGGTCATCATCATTAAAATCATTACCAGCGTCTCCACCACCGTTAAATCCACCTCGGGCGATAATATTTTTTGAGCAATTAGATGGAGATTCGCCGGCTCCGCCTAAATAAAGATATAGTTTTTGCGTTTTGGGAAAACGCACTTTACCTGATACATATGATCCGGGGCCACCATAGTATTCAGTAAGTTTTACACCGTTAGAACATCCTTGACCTCCTTGCGCACCCCAGGCTTCTATAAAATAGAATCCTGGGGTTAAATAGATCTCATGAATAGTACTTTTGCTATCGGAATATTTATATAAGACTATTTAGAACTCAATCTATGATCATTTTAATTCAAGCAACGTTGCTCTCAATATTAAGAGTAATATTTTTAGTATTTTTTGATATACGTAATAAGTGAGAATTATTCTTACGATCGATCAGAAATTTTCATAATTTTGGAAGTTGAAATTTGAGAGAAAAATACGTTGGAAAGTCCTAGTTGTGGAATTCAAAAATCAAAGCACCACTATAGTTGAAAGCTTCAATAATTTGGACATCCTATTTAGATGAAGATTTTTAATCAGAAAATCAGTATTTTTTATTATCTTTTTCCTTATTTTCATAAAAAATTAGTATCAAATCGATGTATTCAGACATAAAATTCTGAAGGTTCGTAGTAGACGTCAGGAATTGTATATTTACAACAATGAAATTCCCAATTTTTTTTTATCTTGCTTGATTCACAAAATAAGACAATACAAAATTATTAGATATCTATAATTTAGATATCGATGCAACTTGAAATTTGCCAAATCCGTTTTTTAAAATTTCCGAAAATATAACAACATTAATGACATAAGTATGCATAGGAAATAGATAAGCACATATAGCTGAAACTATTTATGATAGGCGCTTTGATTTCGAACATATTTTCAAATTCGAAATATTAAAAAGTAAGAGATTACTCAATATTGCAACGCTGAAAATTTCTTTGCATATGATAATCTGTTGAAATAGCACGCTATACGAGAGTGAGCACAACGTAACGGAAATTCTTGTATTTTGTTATCTGAGTGTTACTCTTCAATTCAGAGCAGAAAGATGCATTCTCTAGGGGCAAATAGCTTTCTCCTGAAAGAATGGCCTCTATTGCAATGACTTTTATGAGAATTGAGCAATATGCCTAGCGGACTCAATTTTTTTTTCTAAAAATGAAAGCCGCTAAATAACATCTGGTTTTTAATCAATTTATCGATTAATTTTCCGACTAAATTTTTGCAGATGTATAAAAAAAAAACCCTGAAATTGAATTGCCCTCTCATTTTTGAATGGTATTCAATTGAATAAAATAATCCGTTATTTTTTTGTTTGTAAAAAAAATTATATAATGTCTGGACTTTTTGCGCGCGTTACTAGCTCTGATGTCAAACCAGGTCCTGGTGCGTACGAGCCAAAGCTCGGCGTGACCAGTGATAAGTTGCGTGCCCCAGCATATACATTAAAAGGACGTCATGGAACTACTGAGCGTCCGAATACAGCACCATATCGCGATTTACCATCATCAATTGGCTCAGGACCAAAAATTTCACTTGCTTCACGTCACGCGACACGCGATGTCGAAAATACTCCGGGTCCTGGATATATTCCACCAGCACTCGGTTCAGATGCTCCTAAAGTAGCTATGTCTTATAGACATGGTGAGGCAAGAGATTCACGTTTAGATAACCCAGGCCCAGGCGCCTATGATTATAAAGCTCAATTCGGTAATGAAGCTCCAAAATCTACCATGCACACAAGAACTGGCGATCCAATGGGCATCAATTCAATATCTCCAGGCCCAGGCGCATACAATCCTGATTATTCTACTCAAAAGAAACGAGCTCCATCAGCAACAATGCATATAAGACCAGAGTCACGTTCCATCGAAACGTCCCCTGGCCCGTCAGATTATCAGATCGACAGGTCTCTCGGCGGTCCAAAGGCCACAATGCACGCTAGAACAGGAGATCCAATGGGAATTAATTCTATTTCACCAGGTCCTGGCGCTTACAATCCAACTGACTCGAATAAGGCTAAAGCTCCATCATACACAATGAAAGGACGTCATGAATCTACATCACAAGTTAATACTGCTCCATATCGTGACCTCCCATCTTCAATTGGTCAAGGTCCAAAGATTTCACTTGCCTCCCGTCATGCTACAAGGGACGTAGAAAATACTCCAGGTCCTTCTTACGTTCCACCAGCTCTTGGTGCCGACGCACCTAAAGTTGCTATGTCATACAGACACGGCGAAGCTCGTGACTCTCGTCTTGATAACCCAGGTCCAGGTGCTTATGATTATAAGGCACAGTTCGGTAACGAAGCTCCTAAATCTACAATGCACTCTCGTAATGGTGATCCAATGGGCATCAACTCCATTTCACCAGGCCCAGCTGCATACAATCCAGATTACAGTACTCAGAAAGCAAGAGCTCCTTCAGCTACAATGCACATCAGACCCGAGTCAAGAAGTATCGAATCTACTCCAGGTCCATCAGATTATCAAATCGATAGATCTCTCGGTGGCCAGAAGTCAACAATGCATACAAGAACAGGAGATCCAATGGGCATCAATTCTATTTCTCCAGGTCCAGGTGCTTACAATCCAACAGATTCTAATAAATCAAAGGCCCCATCATATACAATGAAGGGTCGTCACGAATCTGTCGAGCGTCCTAACACAGCTCCATATCGTGATCTTCCATCAACAATCGGCCAAGGTCCAAAGATTTCTCTCGCTTCTCGTCACGCTACAAGGGATGTTGAGAACACACCAGGTCCAAACTACATTCCACCAGCTCTTGGTGCCGACGCTCCAAAGGTTGCCATGTCATACAGACACGGCGAAGCTCGTGATTCAAGACTCGACAACCCAGGTCCAGGTGCATACGATTACAAGACACAGTTTGGTAACGAAGCACCAAAGGCCACAATGCACACAAGGACAGGCGATCCGATGGGCATCAACTCCATCTCACCAGGTCCCGGTGCATACAATCCAGACTTCAGCACCCAGAAGAAACGTGCACCAAGTGCCACCATGCACATTCGTCCAGAATCACGCTCACTGGAAGTCACTCCAGGTCCATCCGATTACCAAATCGATAGATCTCTTGGTGGTCAAGCCTCCACGATGCATGCCAGAACAGGAGATCCAATGGGCATCAATTCTATTTCTCCAGGTCCAGGTGCTTATAACCCAGGTGATGGAAACAAGGCAAAGGCTCCTTCGTTCACTATGAAGGGCCGCCACGAGTCCACATCCCAAGTCAACACCGCTCCATACAGAGATCTTCCATCAACAATTGGTCAAGGTCCAAAGATTTCTCTTGCATCAAGACATGCAACTCGTGATGCAGAGAACACACCAGGTCCAAACTACATTCCACCAGCTCTTGGTGCCGACGCTCCAAAGGTTGCCATGTCATACAGACACGGCGAAGCTCGTGACTCTCGTCTTGATAACCCAGGTCCAGGTGCTTATGATTATAAGGCACAGTTCGGTAACGAAGCTCCTAAATCTACAATGCACTCTCGTAATGGTGATCCAATGGGCATCAACTCTATTTCACCAGGTCCAGCAGCATATAGCCCAGATTACAACACACAGAAGACAAGAGCTCCATCTGCTACAATGCACATTCGTCCAGAATCTCGTTCTCTCGAATCTACTCCAGGTCCATCAGATTATCAAATCGATAGATCTCTCGGTGGCCAGAAGTCAACAATGCATACAAGAACAGGAGATCCAATGGGCATCAATTCTATTTCTCCAGGTCCAGGTGCTTACAATCCAGGTGATGGAAACAAGGCAAAGGCTCCTTCATTCACTATGAAAGGTCGTCACGAATCTGTCGAGCGTCCTAACACAGCTCCATATCGTGATCTTCCATCAACAATCGGCCAAGGTCCAAAGATTTCTCTCGCTTCTCGTCACGCTACAAGGGATGTTGAGAACACACCAGGTCCAAACTACATTCCACCAGCTCTTGGTGCCGACGCTCCAAAGGTTGCCATGTCATACAGACACGGCGAAGCTCGTGACTCTCGTCTTGATAACCCAGGTCCAGGTGCATACGATTACAAGACACAGTTTGGTAACGAAGCACCAAAGGCCACAATGCACACAAGGACAGGCGATCCGATGGGCATCAACTCCATCTCACCAGGTCCCGGTGCATACAATCCAGACTTCAGCACCCAGAAGAAACGTGCACCAAGTGCCACCATGCACATTCGTCCAGAATCACGCTCACTGGAAGTCACTCCAGGTCCATCCGATTACCAAATCGATAGATCTCTCGGTGGCCAGAAGTCAACAATGCATGCCAGAACAGGAGATCCAATGGGCATCAATTCTATTTCTCCAGGTCCAGGTGCTTATAACCCAGGTGATGGAAACAAGGCAAAGGCTCCTTCGTTCACTATGAAGGGCCGCCACGAGTCCACATCCCAAGTCAACACAGCTCCATATCGTGATCTTCCATCAACAATCGGCCAAGGTCCAAAGATTTCTCTTGCGTCAAGACATGCAACTCGTGATGCAGAGAACACACCAGGTCCAAACTACATTCCACCAGCTCTTGGTGCCGACGCTCCAAAGGTTGCCATGTCATACAGACACGGCGAAGCTCGTGACTCTCGTCTTGATAACCCAGGTCCAGGTGCTTATGATTATAAGGCTCAGTTCGGTAACGAAGCTCCTAAATCTACAATGCACTCTCGTAATGGTGATCCAATGGGCATCAACTCTATTTCACCAGGTCCAGCAGCATATAGCCCAGACTACACCACACAGAAGACAAGAGCTCCATCTGCTACAATGCATGTTAGACCTAAGGATAAGGGCCCAGATTCAACACCTGGTTACACAGATCTTGGATCAACTCTCACTGGTCCAGCATGGACAATCGGCCTCAAGGAGAACTTAGGCATGATTCCAGTTTAAGTGTTATTTATTATTTATTAGTTTCTATTATTTTTATTATATCTTTTAAAACCGCTAAATTTGGCGTCAAAAATTTTCTCACTGGGTTTTCGTCTATCAATCCCAGCTCATTATATACGCAACCAATCAAAAATCTGATATGGGAGTCCAAGGCTAACTTTTTGTTGTCTACCTAATAAAAGAGGAAGCAGCATTAGTGAGAATAATCGCAAATATTCAATTTAAATTATCTTTTTATTCTTAATTTAAAGTGACAAAAAGAATAAAAAACATATTCTAAGGCATGTTGTTATGTAAATGAGACTAGACATCATATTTTATGTTATGAAAAAAAAATATTTAGAATTTTAGAACAAAATAAATAGAAAAAATAGCATAACTTATGGATGTGCGTATATTAAATTTAATAAATTAAGACAAATAATTTTGGCGCCAAAATTCATTGTCTGACAGATGCAACAGTGTCTATGAGATGCAACAGTGTCTATGAAATTTAACAGTGTCTGACAGATGCAACAGTGTGTATGAGATGCAACAGTGTCTGACAGATGCAACAGTGTCTATGAAATTTAACAGTGTCTGACAGATGCAACAGTGTCTATGAGATGAAACAGTGTCTATGAGATGCAACAGTGTTTGACAGATGCAACAGTGTCTATGAGATGCAACAGTGTCTATGCGATGCAACAGTGTCTGACAGATGCAACAGTGTCTATGAAATTTAACAGTGTCTGACAGATGCAACAGTGTCTATGAGATGCAACAGTGTCTATGAGATGCAACAGTGTCTGACAGATGCAACAGTGTCTATGAAATTTAACAGTGTCTATGAGATGCAACAGTGTCTATGAGATGCAACAGTGTCTATGAGATGCAACAGTGTCTATGCGATGCAACAGTGTCTGAAAGATGCAACAGTGTCTATGAAATTTAACAGTGTCTGACAGATGCAACAGTGTCTATGAAATTTAACAGTGTCTATGAGATGCAACAGTGTCTATGAGATGCAACAGTGTCTATGAGATGAAACAGTGTCTATGAGATGCAACAGTATCTATGAGATGCAACAGTGTCTATGAAATTTAACAGTGTCTGACAGATGCAACAGTGTCTATGAGATGCAACAGTGTCTGACAGATGCAACAGTGTCTATGAGATGCAACAGTGTCTGACAGATGCAACAGTGTCTATGAAATTTAACAGTGTCTATGAGATGCAACAGTGTCTATGAGATGCAACAGTGTCTATGAGATGAAACAGTGTCTATGAGATGCAACAGTGTCTATGAGATGCAACAGTGTCTATGAAATTTAACAGTGTCTGACAGATGCAACAGTGTCTATGAAATTTAACAGTGTCTATGAGATGCAACAGTGTCTGAAAGATGCAACAGTGTCTATGAAATTTAACAGTGTCTGACAGATGCAACAGTGTGTATGAGATGCAACAGTGTCTGACAGATACAACAGTGTCTATGAGATGCAACAGTGTCTGACAGATGCAACAGTGTCTATGAGATGCAACAGTATCTGACAGATGCAACAGTGTCTATGAAATTTAACAGTGTCTATGAGATGCAACAGTGTCTGAAAGATGCAACAGTGTCTATGAAATTTAACAGTGTCTGACAGATGCAACAGTGTGTATGAGATGCAACAGTGTCTGACAGATGCAACAGTGTCTATGAGATGCAACAGTGTCTATGAGATGCAACAGTGTCTGACAGATGCAACAGTATCTGACAGATGCAACAGTGTCTGACAGATGCAACAGTGTCTATGAAATTTAACAGTGTCTGACAGATGCAACAGTGTGTATGAGATGCAACAGTGTCTATGAGATGCAACAGTGTCTATGAGATGCAACAGTGTCTGAAGATGCAACAGTGTCTATGAAATAACAGTGTCTGACAGATGCAACAGTGTCTATGAATAACAGTGTCTGACAGATGCAACAGTGTGTATGAGATGCAACAGTGTCTGACAGATGCAACAGTGTCTATGAGATGCAACAGTGTCTGACAGATGCAACAGTGTCTATGAGATGCAACAGTGTCTGACAGATGCAACAGTGTCTACAGATGCAACAGTGTCTATGAACAGTGTCTATGAGATGCAACAGTGTCTATGAGATGCAACAGTGTCTATGAGATGCAACAGTGTCTATGAGATGCAACAGTGTCTGAAAGATGCAACAGTGTCTATGAAATTTAACAGTGTCTGACAGATGCAACAGTGTCTATGAAATTTAACAGTGTCTGACAGATGCAACAGTGTCTATGAGATGCAACAGTGTCTATGAGATGCAACAGTGTCTATGAAATATAACAGTGTCTGAAAGATGCAACAGTGTGTATGAGATGCAACAGTGTCTATGAGATGAAACAGTGTCTATGAGATGAAACAGTGTCTATGAGATGCAACAGTGTCTATGAGATGCAACAGTGTCTATGAGATGCAACAGTGTCTGACAGATGCAACAGTGTCTATGAGATGCAACATTGTCTATGAGATGCAACAGTGTCTATGAGATGCAACAGTGTCTGACAGATGCAACAGTGTCTATGAGATGCAACAGTGTCTATGAGATGCAACAGTGTCTATGAAATATAACAGTGTCTGAAAGATGCAACAGTGTGTATGAGATGCAACAGTGTCTATGAAATATAACAGTGTCTATGAGATGAAACAGTGTCTATGAGATGAAACAGTGTCTATGAGATGCAACAGTGTCTATGAGATGCAACAGTGTCTATGAAATTTAACAGTGTCTGACAGATGCAACAGTGTCTATGAAATTTAACAGTGTCTATGAGATGCAACAGTGTCTGAAAGATGCAACAGTGTCTATGAAATTTAACAGTGTCTGACAGATGCAACAGTGTGTATGAGATGCAACAGTGTCTGACAGATGCAACAGTGTCTATGAGATGCAACAGTGTCTATGAGATGAAACAGTGTCTATGAGATGCAACAGTATCTGACAGATGCAACAGTGTCTGACAGATGCAACAGTGTCTATGAAATTTAACAGTGTCTGACAGATGCAACAGTGTGTATGAGATGCAACAGTGTCTATGAGATGCAACAGTGTCTATGAGATGCAACAGTGTCTGAAAGATGCAACAGTGTCTATGAAATTTAACAGTGTCTGACAGATGCAACAGTGTCTATGAAATTTAACAGTGTCTGACAGATGCAACAGTGTGTATGAGATGCAACAGTGTCTGACAGATGCAACAGTGTCTATGAGATGCAACAGTGTCTGACAGATGCAACAGTGTCTATGAGATGCAACAGTATCTGACAGATGCAACAGTGTCTGACAGATGCAACAGTGTCTATGAAATTTAACAGTGTCTATGAGATGCAACAGTGTCTATGAGATGCAACAGTGTCTATGAGATGCAACAGTGTCTATGAGATGCAACAGTGTCTGAAAGATGCAACAGTGTCTATGAAATTTAACAGTGTCTGACAGATGCAACAGTGTCTATGAAATTTAACAGTGTCTGACAGATGCAACAGTGTCTATGAGATGCAACAGTGTCTATGAGATGCAACAGTGTCTATGAAATATAACAGTGTCTGAAAGATGCAACAGTGTGTATGAGATGCAACAGTGTCTATGAAATATAACAGTGTCTATGAGATGAAACAGTGTCTATGAGATGAAACAGTGTCTATGAGATGCAACAGTGTCTATGAGATGCAACAGTGTCTATGAGATGCAACAGTGTCTGACAGATGCAACAGTGTCTATGAGATGCAACATTGTCTATGAGATGCAACAGTGTCTATGAGATGCAACAGTGTCTGACAGATGCAACAGTGTCTATGAGATGCAATATTATCTGTCACACATAACAATGTCTGACAGATATATCTTTCTATGATTCTAACCCTAATTACATTTTTCGTAAAAACCTATATTTAAGATTTGCAATTAACACCCTTTTTTCTCTTCCAATAATGCACAAAACCAAGATTTGACATCAGATTTAAAATCTCCATCAAGTCTGCTTTCCAAATCCGCTGTCAAAACTTGAATATCTCAATTAATTAATGATATTCAGATATTGCGAATAATCTTTAGGTAAAGAAGAAAATTTAGGTTGTAAAATCATATAAAAATGTAGTTAGAGAGCAAAAATTATGTTTGAGTGGATCTCCATGTCGTAGTGGATCTAGATGTTTGAGTGGCTTTAGATGTATGAGTGGTTTTCAATGTCAGTGTGGATCAAGATGTCTGGGAATAAAAGTAAGTCGTAGGTTAATATAAGTTTGATATTAATGTAAGTCTGACTTGAAATGTAAGTCTCGGACGAAAGTAAGTCTGACTTGAAATGTAAGTCTCGGACGAAAGTAAGTCTGACTTGAAATGTAAGTCTCGGACGAAAGTAAGTCTGACTTGAAATGTAAGTCTCGGACGAAAGTAAGTCTGACTTGAAATGTAAGTCTCGGACGAAAGTAAGTCTGACTTGAAATGTAAGTCTCGGACGAAAGTAAGTCTGACTTGAAATGTAAGTCTCGGACGAAAGTAAGTCTGACTTGAAATGTAAGTCTCGGACGAAAGTAAGTCTGACTTGAAATGTAAGTCTCGGACGAAAGTAAGTCTGACTTGAAATGTAAGTCTCGGACGAAAGTAAGTCTGACTTGAAATGTAAGTCTCGGACGAAAGTAAGTCTGACTTGAAATGTAAGTCTCGGACGAAAGTAAGTCTGACTTGAAATGTAAGTCTCGGACGAAAGTAAGTCTGACTTGAAATGTAAGTCTCGAAAGTAAGTCTGACTTGAAATGTAAGTCTCGGACGAAAGTAAGTCTGACTTGAAATGTAAGTCTCGGACGAAAGTAAGTCTGACTTGAAATGTAAGTTCGGACGAAAGTAAGTCTGACTTGAAATGGAAGTCTGATTCTAAATGTAAGTTCTAGACTAAAGTAAGTCTGATTCTAAATATAAGTCTGATATTAAGATAAGTTTGTAACTAAAATTAAGTCTTATTCCAAAAGCAAATTTAATTGTATAATAAGTCTGGATCTAGAGTAAGCCTTAGTCTACAGCTATTCTGTGTCAAAAATAAGTCACGAACCATAGTAAGTTTCGGACTAGAGTATGTCTGTAATTCGAATCATTCATATTCTTCAATTATCCCGCCAAAAAAATTATCGTCTTTTTATCATACCATAGTTTTTATCAATCTCGTTCTACTAAAAAACCTTTATATTGGTGATTTCTTTGTTAAACCCGTATTTTTTCATGTGAATCTTATTGTATAAACTCTAAAAGTTCAATTTCCGGTCGAAAAAAACTTGAAAACAATTTGTATTCGACGAGTTAAAGAGCTCTATTTATTCTAAATTTTCCAAAAAAAATTAGATTTCGTTTTTTCGCTTCAAAAAATGTTGTTTTAAGTTTTAAAATTTGTAATTCAAAATTTTTTTGGAAAGATTTACGATTTTTTAATACTGCGAATGAGTTTTATTTTACATACTCTATTGATAAATCATATTTTTGTCGAGATATAACTTTTTTTTAAAAAAATTATATGCAAAGAGTGTTATAGAATTCTAGAAGGTATAGTGCATAATTTGAAGTATACTATCAAATAAAGAAATTTTACAGTTTTTTAGTTTTATTTAGATGTACGTTATTTTAGATGGCTTCGTCGAAAACAAAGCATGTCTGTTAAGTTTATTCTTAACATGGTAAATAAAATGGCAACGAAGCCCAGTGTACTGCGTCTTATGCCGTAGTTTTTGTTATCTTCATACTCAAATACAACAAATACAAATAGATTTATTACGAAAAAACGTATAAAACAAATGATATATTTATTTCTAGACAAGTTGACGAACATGTAGCGCAACTGTATCGCTTTAGAGAACAGTTCTTCCAACACCTACTCATTCAGTGAAAGATTTAAGAAGAACTCTTACTCGACCTTAACTACCTACGCTTTGCTTGAACAATTCCCAACGAGGTTACTATAAGGTTGCAAGTCTTGTCAAAATGTAGTATGCAATACGTTGGGGAAAAATAGATATATACGAACAAACTACTACAGTCTAGCAACTAGTCTTTAAGTGTAATGTATTTTTGCTACAAAGAGCTCATAACGAAGTCAAATTTTGCAATTTGATGTCAAAACTAGCTAGTTGTTGAATCAAATAGCGTTGTGACTTTGTATACATCACGATCTTGTGGTATCAGAGCTGTACTGCTGCAGACTAATTCAACTAAACATGAGCAAGATTGGGATTTCTATTCTCTGGGGTGCGAGGCTCGTCCAAAGTTCAAGCAGCTACAGTGTTTTGGATCACCTAAAGAACTTTGGGAATTCAGTTATTACGTAAATTTCTCAAGATGAACTTGAGAGCAGCGCAGTTATAACGAAAGTCTCTGATGAAAGGCAATGATTTCTTTCATGAATGATCTAACGTTAGCTTGAAATCAGGAAAAGAGACTATTGATGACTTACTTTCCATCGATGGTGCACAACAGCAGGGAGGGGATTGGTGGGTTTGGGGAAATTCGCTGAGGCACTAGTGTCCGGATTGTTCGTCAAATAGGTTTCCTTTCCTATAAAGAAATGACACTTTTTTGGCGGCTTATTGACTCAGAAAAATTTGAGAGTTAACGAATAATTTTGGCGCCAAAAATAATTTCTCTTAATTTATTAAATTTAATATACGCACATCCATAAGTTATGCTATTTTTTCTATTTATTTTGTTCTAAAATTCTAAATATTTTTTTTTCATAACATAAAATATGATGTCTAGTCTCATTTACATAACAACATGCCTTAGAATATGTTTTTTATTCTTTTTGTCACTTTAAATTAAGAATAAAAAGATAATTTAAATTGAATATTTGCGATTATTCTCACTAATGCTGCTTCCTCTTTTATTAGGTAGACAACAAAAAGTTAGCCTTGGACTCCCATATCAGATTTTTGATTGGTTGCGTATATAATGAGCTGGGATTGATAGACGAAAACCCAGTGAGAAAATTTTTGACGCCGCTAAATTTCGAAATAATTAATGTTTTTTTTCTTAGATCATTTTTAGATAAATTGAATTCCTACCATATTTATGAAGGAAATACTATTTAAAAAGGAAATGCCTAAATTGGTCATACTCAATATCGAAATTAATTTCATTACATTGTCAAGCCAATATATGAGCATAAAATCAAATTAGTTAGGCATATGCATCTCATTCTCAAACTAAATAATTCTGAATATCAACATTTTAGAAATTTCTTTTGATGAATCTCGAAAGATCAGAATATTAAACATGAAAAAGAGGACACCCATGCAATATAACAATGATTTATGAAGTAAAATAAGGCCCAATAAAGACATATCTGAAAAGGATCTGTCACTTTTGTAATCGAGTCTTGAATTGAAAAACTCTGTTTGGTCGTTCTTTTTGCAAATGTCTACTCAGGTCCCAACAGGTGATGAAAAGAAGGAGATCATTGAGGATCTTCCAGTCCAGAAGATCCGCCTTACAATCACATCTTCTAAGCTTCCAAATCTTCAGCGCGTTGTCGGCAATCTTATGGGCAAGCTGAAGAAGGGCAATCTTGAAGTCCGCGGACCAATCCCAATGCCACGCCGCCGCCTGCGCATCACAACACGCCGTGCACCATGCGGTAACGGTACAGAAACCTATGATCACTTCGAGCTTCGTATCTACAAGCGCGTTATTGATTTCCAGGGCACAGCTGAAGCCGTCAAGCAGGTTACTCAGATCGCTCTTGAACCAGACGTTCATGTCGAAGTTTCAGTCATCACTGAGTAAAATAATTTTTTGAAATTTCTAATATACTTCAAATCTCGAATGAGATTTTAAATCGAAAAATTAAATACTTTTAAATGCTAGACTTCCCATAAAAATACATAAAGCTCATTATACCTCCATCATTTTTGAATTCAATTGGACTAATTCTACTATTACATCTATATACAACTATAGGTATCTTCATTTTAGAGATTTATTCCTTTCTGAGGACTATTAATTTTAAAAAAGAATATCATTTTTTTTGATAAAAGACACAACTCACTTGCATTAATGTCCAACCTCCAAACTTTCATTTGTTGAGTATAACCAGTGATAATATTTAAAAATTTTTCTCTTTCTTAAATTATAATAACAATATGTCATGAAAGATGGCCTTCTGCACAAACATGACCAGTTGTTTGATATTTCCACACATTTCAAAAATTTGGAAAAAATGCGAATAAATTTTTAGGATCATTATTATTACATAGGCAATACTTGCTGTGCTAAAGTTAGAACTAGGATAATAAGAACATAGCATGCAAATAAGGGCAGAAAATAGAATATTTTGTTTCAATATATGATTTAAGTTACAAATTCTCACATTATTATGAATAGACTGAGTCCAATCTTCTAGCATCTATGATGAGTAAAGTAGCTACCTGTTGTTGCTCTCATTCAACAAGATGAGGAAAAATGTCTTTGAAATTCCAATTGAAAGGGTTTGTTTGCAATAAAATGCCCAAGTTTTCTCTGATACACAGACCATATACAAGAAAACTCTCTCAGGGCATTATGAAAAAAGCAACTGATCAACAGACACAAGCATATTTTGGACAGTTTAAGATTAAAAATAGTTCAAAATATAAATCAACAACAGATATTCCATTTCCAGAGACACATAACGAGTTTTTAAAGACACAAGCATTTGAACCAGTCGAAACTTTAAAAGCAAAACAAATTTTAATGAAAGATTCACATAGTATTCACTCTTTAGTTCTCAAGCCATTATATTTCCTTTTATTATCAATTTTGACATTATCATTGCATATGCTTGGCATCAAGAGGAGATATAATTTATATCTTACGATAATATTTTTCGTTTTAACTTTAAGTAACATTTTCTTTGCTATTCTTGAGATTATTAAGCGCAGAAGAAATACCACTCGCGAAATATTTATTCCTGTTAAACAACAAAAGCAAGAATTTGATCTTCAAAATCCATATCTCAAATTTGTTAAAGATAACTCAACAGTTGTTCCTCTTCCTACTGCTGTTTCGAATGCTGCACTCGATCTCTACCGTCCATTTGTTCCATCAGACCGTCCAACAGCTTCATTTCAATCAAATGTCAATACTCTTTCAATCGACACTTCTATCGACCAGCTTGCGGCGGATTCCCTCAGATCTCTTGGTCTTTCCGACTCAGAGTACGGCCAATACCTTCTCAACTTCAAGACTTTCATTTCAAATATTATTCTCAAGAAATTGGTCAAAGAATTACATTCAGACAGTCATCTTATCGAAGCTATAGTATCATTACCCGCATACGAGAACCACCGCGAGTACGTTATCGAGAGAATCAAGAAACTGGCCGCATCTCAATATTTGGCCGGTCATTTTGGCGACCGTGGCGATCGTTTCAAGGACTCAGAGTGGAACAGCGAGATGCCATCCGACAACCAGATCCTCATGCATGTTTTCGGAACATGGCTTTCTTATTTCATGAGCCACAACAAGAAACATCATCTTACAAACATTTTCAAGACGAAATTCGTCACTTTAAAGAGAGATCCTTCTCTCGAGTCCACCCAGGGACAGTTGCTTTGTGTCGAAGACTGGGTAAGATTCTATGTTCTCGCAAAAGATAAAAAGACCGGCCAAACCAGAAGATTTTGGGCTTTTCCAGGAAGAGATTCGATGTATTCCGCGCTTGTAATCTTCTTCTACATCATCAAGAGAGATGAGAACAATATCCTCGACTGCGCTGATTTGCAGGTCGAGCCAATTTGTATGGATAGAGTATTTTCAATGTCAAGATTTGAATAAAAAAATATAGATTTATCATTTTTTCTTTTTTTTATACTTTTTTTTTGGTGAGTGGAATATAGTTAAAACATGCTTTGTAGTCACAAGAAATTTTGTTTAAATGATTCTGTATACAACACTAGAGCAAATAGTGACACTTGAATCGGATCTATCCTGAATAATTTTAAATTATATAGTATGAACAAACTTTTGCATCCCTTAACGCTTATATGCAGCTCATTCGATGAAAAAGTATAACTTATATTATCAATTGTAAGATCAATTTCTTTGGCTTAAAGCTTTATAGATAATCTTTTTGATGTATTATGATTTTGTTTCCCATCACACATCATCATATATGTTTATACTTAATTATTTACGAGAAATGACATAAAACATCAATGTATATGCAATATTCCACATATACACTGAATTTCAATATTTTTTGATTAAATATATTTTCTTAAATCTTGCTAATACCTTTCATCTTCTTGGATGTAATCACTTAAATAGATGCTTTGATCAATGGACTCCTTTACCTTTGATCAAATCAGATAATCTTGATTCTATCGTTATGATCGGATATTTTTCGATTTTATTGAATGATAAGAATCCCTCCTCCAAAAGAAAATCAAAACATGAATTGACATCCTACCATCATTTTAGTATTACGTAGAATTTTAGCATGTCTTTCAATTCATCAGATTGTTCCAATTTAGCCAATTGTGCATTCAAATCAATTAAACGTGGAAAATTATTTTTATATGCTCAATATACTATTTTCTATAAGAAAGCAGAATTATCTTGATTGGCTGCAATATTTGACACAAACAAAGGAGAAAAATGTTAAAAACGAAACTTTCATAATATTTTGCATAGAATCAAGATTTTCTTCATAATTATACTAAAATCCATGATCAATCTTAATGCTCTCAAAAATTCCGGTAGATCTTTTGTAAAGCAATTAGCCAAATCATATTGAAGAAACTACTGTCTAGAGGTTTTTAATTCACTAACAATAGAAATAACGATACAGCACTCAAATTTGGACATGGGATTTGATTATCCTACTGAATAAATTCTGATAGCAATCAAAAAAATTTAAAATGTTGTTTGCACTTTCCGCCCTATCAGGCGCTGCTCAGGCACCAACAAGATTGCTTGAGATCACAACAAGACCATACTTATATGGATTGTCTCAGAAGTTAGGCAGACAAATCACAACTTTCAAAGATATTCCAGAAACCGAATTCCAATCATGGAAGGAAAAAGGTTTCGAATGGGTTTGGTTCATGGGTGTTTGGCAGATTGGTGAATACGGCCCACAACATGACAGAACAGATCCAGGATTAAAGAAATCCTTCGATACAGTTTTACCAGGCTGGACAAACGACGATGTTATTGGCTCCCCATATTCCATCACTGAATACAAGCTCAACAAGCAACTCGGTACCGAAGAAGATTTGAAGTGGCTCCGTGAAAAACTTCATTCTTATGGAATGAAGCTTATGCTCGACTTCGTTCCAAACCACTCCGCATGCGATGCCCCAACCATCACATCAAAGCTCAACTTCTACGTCCGTTGCCCACAGGGTCAATCAATTGATCCAGCCAAGTACATGAGCAACGGCATCGCTTATGGCTGTGGCATCTGGTGCGCTCCATGGACAGATGTTGCCCAATACAACTACGCTGATGCTGAATTCCGTCAACATCAGATCGACGTCCTTAAGTACATCGCTTCCCTTGCTGATGGCTGCCGCTGCGATATGGCTCACCTCATCATCAACGACGAATTCTGGAACTACTGGCAGACACAACTCTCATCTTGGGGCTATTCCAAGCCATCTACAGAATTCTGGGCTGATGCAATCTCTGCTGTCAAGGCTGTTTATCCAAACTTCAAGTTCATGGCCGAGAGCTACGGTGATGTCCTTTCCAAGCTCCATTCCTTTGGATTTGATTGGGCATACGACAAAGACCCACTTGACAAGATCTACAAACACGATGTCAAGGGCTACCAGCAGTACGTTGCTAACCACAACCTTGACTTCTTCTCAAAGACAGCTCACTTCACAGAAAATCACGATGAACCACGCGCCATTTACAAATTCTGGAACTGGAATCCAGCAGCAGACTGCGCAACAGCTACATTACTTACACTCCCAGGCTTGAGATTCTTCAATCAGGATCAATGGCTCGGATACAAGAACAAGATCGACGTTCACCTTCGTAGAGCAGTTTCTGAGAACCCACGCAGTGATGTCTTCTCATTCTACACACAGCTCTTCAAAGTTCTTGACACAGATGCACTCAAGAACGGTCAGTTCACACAGTTGTGGGTTTCTGGAAGTGATACAATCCCAGCATGGAAGTGGGTATCCGGAAACCAGCACATTTTGGTTGTCGCCAACTTCAATGAGAACACATCTGGCGGTTCTGTTGTATTGAGCGATGCTCCAGGATCAGGAAACATTGATGTCAAGGAATTAATGTCCGGAACAACATACCAGAGAGATGCCCAGACACTTCGTACATCTGGCCTCTATGTGGTACTTTCTCAGTACCAAGTTCAGGTTTTCCAGTACTAAAACCTCTTTCTAATAATATTTTTATATAAATCAACTCTTTTTTAAATTAATTAAAGACTCAATTGCTCGGAAGTTTTGCGTCCTATAAAATTCCTTTTTTTTATGAAGTTATAGATTTGTTTTTACTCAGAGTAGGTATATTAATTATATTCTATAAAACCAGGTGCATTGCATAGTACACATATAGTGTAAATAAATGCAAAGGTGTGATATATCGATGCTTTTTTACCATATAAATTCCCTTTTTGAATCAGAAAATTCATTCAAAAATATCAATAAAAATCAGATTTTGATTTGCAAAAAATAACTTTTTACTATCGTCCTGTGCCCTGTGGAGGCACCCTATAGTTCGAGCGGCGCCCATATATATCATATATTTTAAGCGCCCACCGTTCCCTATATAAAAAAGTCTATTAAAAAAAATTTTTTTTCTCCATAAAAGAAAAACAAACAATCTATGAATTTTTAATGATAATAAGAATGAAAGTTATACATATAGCGATGAAAGTATACTTGAGATAGTGTGTTTTCACAACTGCATCGTTTGTCTCAGATCCAATAAGCGTTGCAAGGTCAGGAACACCATCCATCGCGTACTTAAACTTAAGTTCTGGTATAGAAAGTGTTTTTACGATCTTTAAATCGCGATATAGTTGATGATCAATTGAATAAGGTGCTACAGGGTCTTCGTGAGGGCTTGGAGGTACAATCGATGATATTCCTGGTACGTAATCATTGAGATTACTCTTTGATCTGTAAATTGAACTTTGAATTACAATACAATCGTCATCTGACGAGTCCTGGCTGTCCTCTTCGAGATCAGATGATTCAGAAGTGTCCTTTGGAAGTACTCCTGAGCTCATACTGGCTGTAGAAATATCGCGATCTAATATCAAACCTGGTAAGTCATCAATGCTTCTTGTAATGACTTGTGTAGCTTGTGGATCGAGTTCGTTGTTTAATTTGATAACATCTTTGATGCAATTGTAAAGAATTGTTGTCATTTCTGATTTTATCTTCCATGAGATTCCGTTTTTGTATTTAATCATAAGATGCTCGCCTTCTATGTCTACAGAGACGATATCCGATATGAGTTCGTAAATTAGAACGTCGTCATCGATACTTTTCGTGATAACAATTTTATTTAAGGAAACGTGAATGATTCTTGTTGATTGCATGTGCCATTTATCATCAATTAGTAAGAATTTGATTTGTTCTGAGTGGCAACATGAGACAGCGGACTGTCCAAAGTGCTCTACGTATTTTTCGGCAGATTTTTGTGGAGTTAATGTAGAATTCTTAGTAATAATGTCTTTAGCAGCTATCAGAATGTTATCTGTGAAGCTAATGACCGACGGGAGATACTTAATGAAGGAGGTTTTTCGAATTTCGTCGTCTTTCTTGTCTTCCAGCAAGTAATTGTAACCAGCAGCAATACCCCAGTTCTTTTTAGAGAAAAATACAACATTATCGTTGATCTGAAGCTGACAACAGCCATAAAGGAAGCGAATATTTTCTGGAGTTGAATTTGAGAATTCGTTTGGAAGAATTCGGCGGTGCAACGTCAATTGCTCACCATTCCACTTATGAATAATGAGCGGCAGGGAGTTCGAACAGACTCTTGGGAAAATTTCATTCTTTCTCTTAAACGAAAGAACGAAAAGCTCGGGGTTTTCTAAGTTCATCTTGTTTATATTGCTTCCTATAGTATCCTTTATATCGAAATTAAACGTTTTGATATCGTTGAAACTCGTTCTGATATTAACTGATTGATTTCTCTGAATCAGTCTGAGCCGTATTCGCTTTCCTTCAGAAATTGCTGAAAAAGGCTTTGTTTCGTCTAATAACTCCCATTCTTTTCCTTTTTCTAATTTTATAAAGAAAAATTCAACATCAATTAATGAAACAACTTCTCTGGCAACATATTCCTTAAAGTTAGATCCTTTTGTTGTTGAAGCAACTTTAAACTTATAACTTGACGGTGGATCTGTCTCTGGAACAGTAACATAGACTTTTTTCATTGTAAAAATTATTTTTTCTCCCACAATTATCGACTAAAAAAAGTTTTATAATAGTTTTTGATAGTAATTATAATTTTTAAAAAATTTCTAAATGGGACATTATTGATTTTGTATTCAGTCACTTTTTGAACGATAAAAAAGTAATAAGGTTTTGAAGTACTTGCCAAAATAATGAGAAAACAATAAAAATTAAATTTCAATAATTTACATCAAATTTTATGATAATACATAATTTGGCAATAATCTACTTGGGCCTAGTTGTTAATTTTAATAGCAATAAATTTTCGTGAGAAAAATCATAAATATTTTGGAAAATTTGAAATTTATTAATTTTAGAAAAACTTAGGATGCTATACAAAGCAGCAGGGGCATAGAAATAAAGTATTCTTGATACTACCACCAATAATTTCCATTGTTATCCAAATATACCTGATTCTCTATTTGATCTATCATATACTCGAAAGCTGTTTTCCCAAAGTTATCCCTAACATTTTTGTCTGCACCATGAGAAAGAAGTGAAAGCAAAATTTCTATTTTGGACTTATGAAGAGCATAAAAATAAGCTGTTTGACCAAATTGATCTCTCAAATTGACATCTGCACCATATGATATAATTATTTTAGATAATTCGTCATAATTTAATAAGAGTGACATCATAAGTGCTGTTTTCATATATTCATTTACTGCATTGATATCAGCTCCATAAAATATAAGAGTTTCAAACACTTCAATGCTATTATTATTGGCTGAATGATGGAGTGGTGTGAACATGTGATTGTCCCTTGATTCAATGTCGGCGCCATTCAATATCAACATTTCAGCCATTTCAAACATATTTTTTTTTGATGCCAAATGAAGAGGGGTGCATCCATCCAAATCTTTTGCATTTATATCGGCACCATGAGAAATAAGCATTTCAGCTATTTCAATCATATTGTTTATTGATGCTAAATGAAGGGCAGTCATGCCTTTAGTTTGCTCTTTTGCATTAACATTTACATTTTGCGATAAGAAATATTCGCAAAGTGATCTAATTCCAAATGGCACTGAGTAAATAAAACATGTTTCGATATCACTTGTTTGATCTAAATAAGCCAAAAAAGCCCCAAGATTTCTGTATTTGGTACAAAACTCTGGAATGAATTTGATTTGGTACTCATTCATTAGAAATGTTATAAAGTCAATATTGTGCGAAATAATTGCAAATCCCATGCATAGATCATCTGGTTTTTGGACCTTCAAACACTCATTCATAATCTCTGCATTTCTACTCAAAAATGAAAAATAAAGACATTCAGGAGTGATTTTGCTGTTGTATTTTGTTCTCAAAAATTTAAAACAATTGGCAGCACCATAATAGCAACATATTTCCAGTAATGAATTTCCAATCTTGTACCCATTGCCTTTATTAATTTTGGGAAACAAATAAGTGGTGATACATATAGACTTACTATAATCTTCTTGCTCTGTACAAAAAATGAACGCCCTTATATCGTCATTAATAATTGCCTTAATAATGCTTTTTTCAAAAAATTTCATACAAAAATTAGCTATATCTGTTTCTGTGAATTCAAAATACTCTTCGTTATTTATAGTGAATCCATATTCTTTGTAAAGAAGGCAATCTAGAGTTGAATTAATAGGTCCTGTTAGCTTTGGATGATATTCTTCATAAATCATTTTGAAAAGTGTCCAATATGATTTAAGATATCGATTTCGAATTACGATATTTTGAAAAATCTGATTGATAATATCGCTTGGTGAACATTTCATTGTATCTATTAAATTTGTTTTGATTATATCATAAACTTTTTTAATTTCATCTTCATTTAATGCCTTCAGCTGATACAACATATCAAAGCCTTCTATATAATCTTTATATTTATTAGAAAGTGTAGTGTACCAGGGCAATGAAGTTTTGGCATCCATAAATTAAAATGAAGTGATTTTATCAGGAAAATATTTTTTAAAATTTTTATTAGACATTAGTCATCCATGTTTGAATTTATATAGAAAAAATATTATTTTGATTGCAATTCATATTGATAATATAATTTGAATATCCTATGCAAAAAAAAATAAAAAAAAAATAAAAATTGAGACTGTGTGGATTGATTGAAACAATTAACATCATTTTTCAATTAAATAGTTTCAGAAAACAAAGTTTATAAGTCAAAAGGAGTGAACATTGACCGAAATATTGTTATCTTTACATCCAAGTTCGAAAATTGATACAAAAAAAATTTGAAAATCGAGCGCTATTTATCCGATGATTTGATAGCGAAGAGAACATTTATGTTCGTAATTGGCTAGTTCTTTTTTTAATACAAACTACATCCCTTGCAATTCGATGCTTTAAGCTACATTCGACTACTTAAGGGTGCACTTACTACTTTCTGACATGCTCTCACAATATCAATATTTCTTTATTGTGATTGAAAAAAAGTATAACAGTAATATAAGGTCCTAAGTAGTTATTTAAAATAACTTCTTCCCGAACAAAGTTAATGGCTTTTTACCTTATAAAATTTGGATAAAAAACTAGAATGTCAAAATAATTGAGGGAATGTCAGAAAGTTGTAAATTCACCCTTAAAACAATAAAAAACTAAAAACATGAAATCCTGGATTAAGAACGATTTTTAGAGAATTGAGCTTCATTCATATGATTTTCTTCGATGCCTAAGGCGGCACTTACGCCCATCTGACTTTTATTCAAATTTTTGACAATTGGCGTGAGTGTACCGTTAAACAACAAACTTTTTTATTGATTTTGCATTATCAAAATCATATCTTGGCTTTGATGAACCACGAATTAGATACCAATATACGCATTTCGTTTCGCCTGAAGGAAGATTGTCGCAGTCTTCTTTGTACTGAATACTATCAATGCATTTAACCTTGCAGGCGTAATGTGGAGCTGAGTTATCTGTGCATTCTTTACGGAGTAGTTCAGGACATCTTGATGGTGGATTTGTTTGTGACATGCCATCGTCTCTTCCATATCTTTCGCACTGAATAGTGTCTGTCTTCCAGCATCTTTCATCAAATTCAAGACGAGTAGAGTTGCGATCGCACTTTGTAATGCAGTGTGAGTAGGTTCCATCTCTACTGTGGCATTGAGAAACACACACGTCTCCTACTCTTTAATCATAACCAGAAACCGAAGGTAATCTAGGAAACTTTCGGAATGCAACACCAAATAGAGCAAGCATTAAATTATAAGTTTATTGTGTCATTTGCCAACTCTGTCATTGGCAAATTCGTCAAATGCCAGTTTTGACAAACACAACTCTATTGAAAATATTTCTTATTTTCATTTTAAGTAATGACGCCAACCAATTATCCAGATCTTATCATTCTCAAAAGGGAACATGTTAATTTTTGGTAAGAAAATATAATTTCCTAAAAACACACGGTTTTATTACCTTGGAGGACGTTTACTGGCATTTTTCACCATAATCAACATCAATAAAAAGTACTTTTAATATGCCAAATGCTTTTTGCATATATTTTCCATTTACATTCTATTTCTTTGAAGATAATAACATAATATAATCAGCCCTAAGAGGGTTCATCTTAATCAATATGCATAGAGAAAGTATAGGTGGTTGTATTCTTCTGCATTATCCCATTGAAGGCATATTTGATAAAATAAATTGGGCAATTTAAGGCATAAAGTTAAAGGTACCCTATATATATAAATATTTAGTTTGTAAAGCTCATAATTTGACTCATGCATGATATCCGAAATCTCTGCGATCATTGTTTTTCATATTTGTGGCATTTCACTCTTTTATAATTATGAATATTAAAGTTGTTTTATACTGTGTGGATATTTAAAATTTTTTAAACATACACAAGACCTTTATCCAGATAAATTCAGTGAATTGAAAAGTATCTGTAAATACTACATAGACGCATATATTGCGTTGTATCAGCTTAAAACGGAAAAAGAAGAAGATTTAAACTCGATTTACGAAATGATCAAAACAGAATTGATTGACTCAAAGAAACATCTCCCTGTAAATATTATCCGAGACATTTCAGGTAACATTCCGTATAATAATCGCTATACAAAGTCATATTTATATCTTATCAAACGTTTATCTGATAATTATCATTTACAAGAGGTCAAAAACATTTTCTACATTTGTAACTACTTGTTTTATAAAGAATATGGTATTAAATTAGATAAATCTGAAGATTTTGAAACAATTAATATAGGAGATCTCGAAATTCATTCAAAAAATACAATTTACAAAGCAATTATGAATAATGACATAAAAAGTTTCATCTCGTTCACGGAAGCGGAAAATTTTAATATAAATGACAAACTTAGATGCAAATTATATCCTGAAGATCCTTGAGCACTTTTACGAAATGAATTATCATATCTTGAATTATGTTGTTACCATGGAGCTGCTGATTGTTTCAAGTTCTTAAGAACAAAATTCAACGCAGAAATTACTGAAATGTGTCTCGAAAATTCATTTTTAGGAGGAAATCCAGAGATCATGAGTGAATGTTTGAAATATCAAAGACCAAATGTATATTGCATGGAAAATGCACTTATTTCACACAATATTGATTTTGTTACATTCTTGATGAATGAGTACAAACTCCCGATCTACCCAATTGATTGCATTAGTTATAATAACCTTGAATCATTTTTAGTTTATTGCGATCAAACTAATGATATTGATTCATGCTTTTTTTATTCAGCAATGATTGATATTCCATCCCTTTGCGAATATTTCCTATCACATGGTGCAAATATCAATACAAAAGGTTATCGTCAAGCAACAGCTCTTCAAGTTGCCGCACGATATAATTGTAAAGGAATAGCCGAATTTCTTATTTTACATGGTGCAAATATCAATGAAAAAGATGATGATGGAAAAACTGCTCTTCAATTCGCAGCAGACTATAATAAAGATGAAGTAGCTGAACTTCTTATTTTGCACGATGCAAGCATCAATGGAATAAATAAAGTTGGAAGAAATGCTCTTCAATACGCAGCAGAAAATAACAATAAAGCAATAGCCGAACTTCTGATTTCGCATGGTGGAAATATCAATGAAAAAAATGAATATGGAAAAACCGCGCTTCATATTGCAGCTGACAAGAATAGTAAAGAAATAGTCGAACTTCTTCTTTTACATGGCGCAAATGTCAATGAAAGCAATAACAAAGGAAAGACAGCTCTTCTTATTGCAGCAGAAAATAACAATAAAGAAATAGTCGAACTTCTTCTTTTACATGGCGCAAATGTCAATGAAAGCGATAACGATGGAAAAACAGCTCTTCTTATTGCAGCTGACAATAATAGTAAAGAAATAGCCGAAATTCTTATTTCACATGGTGCGAATATCAATGAAAAAAAGTAAATCCGGGAAAGCCGCTCTTCATTTTTTTCATATCTTAAATGCATAATGCTATTTTTTTAATTTTTATTTTATCGATAAAATATCGAAATTGGGAAATACAATAGCATCGAATTTTCAAATTTAAGGTCTCAGTAAGCTCCAGTTTTAAGGAAACGCATACTTTAAAATTTAAGAAATAAACACATATATATATTTATAGGAAAAAAACTTTTAAATTTAACCGAAAGCATAAAATATAACAAAGTTTTACAATATATATTAAAATATAATTAAACAAACATTACAAAATAATAACAACAAAATTAAGCCTTATAAGGATTTTCGGCTTCTGGAGCAGGTGCAAAATCAAATGGGTTTGTTGACGAATCAAGTTTCCTTAGTGTGTTATAAGAAGGCTGCATTTGGATGTAAGGAGACATCATAGAAATAGAGTTTTGCGGAGAAATGATACTGTTGTTTGCTGGTGGACAAGCAATAGGAGATTGAGCGAAATCAGGCATTCCTGGCTGTGTAAAAGTAACAGGAACAGTATCATCTGATGAATAACTTCTTGGTCTTGTTCTTCCATTTCTTCCATTTTGTCTTTGATGAACAGGTTGTGTATCGAAATGAACTCTTTGTGTGTTTTGACGTCCTGTAGAACTTCCTGAATCAATTTCGGAAGCCAAAGTCGCTCTTGCTGTTAGAATAAATGGAATTTGGCTGCGTCGATGATGAGTATTTGCTCTTCTTCTTGTCCTTCTTCCAGTTGCTTCCAAATCAGCTGAATTTCGTCTGTGGCCTCTTGATGAATGAGTTTCTGTCTGGTTTTGGTTTTGTACATCATTATTTTCAGCATTTATGTCATTGATGTTGTCACTTGTTTCAACATCTTCATTTTCTTCTTCCATCATAACTCTTTCTTTCTTTTTCTTCTTGACAATAGTAACAATAGCAAATATAGTTACAGTAATAAGCGCCAAAGTAGAAAATACAATCAAAGCAATCATTTTTACTAAATCAACAGATTGCTTTTCTTCTTCAGGAAACGTGACACCAAAAAGTGTCAATTCTGACGGTTTTCCGTTAACAAATGTACTTTGTTTTGTATAAGAAGAAGTACCAGCGATCAATGCGTTGATATTAGATGAAATCGCATTTTCATCGTTGGCAAATCTTTTTGAAAAAATTAATTCCGGATCAAAAAAACTTTTCAAATTCAAATTAAAATAACCATTACTTGTATCATCATTTCCTTTTGTCTGTATAACAAAGTTCTTCATGGTAAATATTTTGTTTTCACTACCGTATATTTCCATATTATAATCACGAATAAATAATGATCCGCCTCTTAATTCTTTCATGTCTAAATTCATTAAAAAGTGTCATGTGAAGTGAACCAAATACAACTACTTGTTGTTTGCGAAATAGTCATATTTACGGGTAACGGAGCTTGTCCGTCGTTGCTTCCTGCAAGGAAATAAGTGTCAGAACCAAGAAAAACATCAAAAGTCTCGCAATCAGAAAATCTGCCATTGTCAACTGACAAAACCGAAAATGACAAAATTTTTGATTCAGATTTTGGTGTAATAGTGATTGTACAAGTTTTTGTGAGGTTTGTTCCCACATAATTTGTATCACCGAGTATATCTGTGTATTTTTTATTATCAGCAGTATAAATTTTTCCAGAAAAATCTGTTGGATTATGAAATACAACTGTTCTGTATGAAACAAAGCTCAAATTCACTGCCTTTGAGACAGGTATCATGTAGAATCCATCTCCGAAATACAGATAATTGTAGTTAATCGATGCTGGTTTCGTTGATTTTAAATTTGGAGTCCAATTAGGTACAAATGGACTCTTTGATGGTATCTGTGCCTGAACAAATGCATATTCAGATCGTGCTTGACTCGATTTAAGTATTTGAGAGTGCATTCCACAAGATCCGACAAAAGATTTTTCTGTTTTTGATTCTACAATAACCAAAACATTATGAGCAGCTATTTCAAGGCCTTCAGTACCTGTTAAAGTCATAATATTCCTTCTGTAGTCATCATAAATTATTAAATTTTGTCCATCTTCATTTTTTCCGCAAAAAATGAATAATCCATGAGATCTATTGAAGTGACAAGGAAGCAGTTCCTTTGGTTCATTGTGAATGAAACATTGCCGCCGTTCTGACCTACATTCAAAAAAGAATTTGATCCTGCAAAAATGTCAATTGTATTGCATTCTAGAGAATCGTAACTGTATATAGTGTAAAATAGTGTTGCTGGAGAGTTTGCCGTTACTTGTACTCTTGCATTATCTGTAGATTGAAATGAATAATCTGTTAATTGATCTGCAGTTGAAGAAAATGTAAAATATGATGGATTTAAGGCTATGGAAAACGAATTAGGAGGAATTGAGATCGTTTCTGTTGTCCCAATTCGCTTTGAAAATAATGTTTTTGAACCAAGTGTAGAAGATGCAATTTTTAGCTTGCCAGCTGGTAATAACGCTGAAGCTGTCCATACGGCAAATAAGGAGAATCCTATTTGCTTTGTAGTTTGAGAATTTTGAACCGTTATAATTTGATTTGCGTTTAAATCAAAAACCGACAAAGAATAGCCTTCTGGTAAACTTGATGCTGATATGTCGAAGGTAGATTGAAAGCTAGAGATAAAAATTATACATTTTGATGTCGAAGATTGCATTTCTTCATCATCATTAACTCCTTTTTCATGTGCGATAGAATAATAAGCATTATCTCCGTATATATAACTGTATGATGTGCATGAAAATAAAGTTTTTTTGAACGTTGCATAAGTAATTCGCGAATTATCCAGTGGTACAATAGTTATAGATCCTTGGCTATCCTGTGTTTCATAAACGTGAGAATTTATCCTAGTTACTTTAATATCATAGGTGATCGCAAAATCTTCAGAATTTGAAATGACAATGGTGGTTTGTCCAGGTATTATAAAGTTTTCTCCACCCTCTTTAACATCATATACATACTCACCAGGATCGAAAGATGATAAAGAGAGGGAGAAAAAACATAAAAACATTTTCAAAATTAAATCTTTTGGTCTGAATTTTTTTACATTAGAATATTTGATCGTAATAGCTGCATTTAATGGATTTAATAAAAAAATTCGCGACCTTCATAAAAATGTTGTCATGCATAAATTTGAAAGGGATTGAAAATTATTCTTGTTAAAAAATATGAACATACAATAATTCTTATTAAATCAAAATCGAATGAATTCATTTTTGAATGATCTCTGAAAATAAAAAACATTTTCAGTAATATATTTTATATATATATATACACCTTTAAAAAGAAACAAATTTCCACATACCTTGAAAACATTCAAAAATCGAAATCATATTCAAATTAATTACCGTCAATAATAAACATATATTTATGATAAATAATTCAAAATTTTAAAAATCAAATTGTATTTTATGATATCTCTACTTTTTTAAATGACTTTGATATTAATTGATTATATATTTGCGCATAACATATGCTATGGTGTTATACAGCCTTTAATACGGCCAAATAAAGTTCTGCTAATCCTTTTCAGCATTCCATCCATCTGGACTTGCAAGTGACTTTTGCATGCTAGGAACACAATATTCATGCAATTTAGCTACAAGAATATAAGAAACGAATAAATAAAACAAGATTTTCAAGATATTCATCTATAGATTCTCAATAGTTCTATATTAGCATTTATACTATATGCATCACAAAATAATTGGTTTAAGTTCTTATATTCTTACAACAAATATACCAGGTATGTTCGCCCCATAAAATGATCGAAAGCCTCTGGTGGCAAGTCTGAGAATGTATTTTTGTCATGCTAACATTATAGTAAATGCTTCTCTAAATATTATTTCTTATTTGTGCTGTAATAAATTTTCGTTATCTTCAATGATTTCCAATATTTTGCCAATATGTCGCACATTAATATACACATATAGGATATTTCATTTCGAGCTTTCTAGCTTAAAGTAATCTTGATAAAAAAAACTTCTATCTTTTTCTTTGTAATATTAGGAATATAAAATGTATGAATGTAATAAACAGAAATTCATCAAAAGTGACAGCTCTCAATTTTTTGACATTTGTAAATTCTAAATTGAATGAGAAAAATGAAATAATACTAAGCATAATACAATATTCTAGATTTAATTATAATTAGGAAAAAGTTAGTTTTGAGAGTACTTTTCATAGGCATATAGAATGAAATCTTCTGAAAAATAATATCACATAAACTCATATTATTTTCTAATATATAACTATTTTATATAAAAATCAAATTCAATGATCTTAAAAGCGAAGGATAAACCTCAAAATTTACGAATATAATGAGTGGGAATATAATGCTTATCTATCATAAAACCATATGAAATATCAATTTTTGCTTTACGCCTAATTTTTGACGACAATTAGCAAAAAATGTTAAATGTTAACACTCAGTCCATTTGAATATGAAAAATAAAATTGACTTTGATTAAATGTTTTTATTTATCATGCAATTCTTCTTGCGACCAAAGATTTGAATAAAAGTTCAAAAAATAAGATAGCTTAAAAAATAATATACGGTAGTGTTTACTAATAGATGAATAGTATATAAATTCTATTAAAATGGATTTGATCCAAAAAAATATAAAACCAAAAATAATTGTTATAATTTAAATGAAGAAGTAATTTAAAACGATTTTATTTATGATCAAATTTTATATATTTTTTTGGATCAAATCCATTTTAATAGAATTTATATACTATTCATCTATTAGTAAACACTACCGTATATTATTTTTTAAGCTATCTTATTTTTTGAACTTTTATTCAAATCTTTGGTCGCAAGAAGAATTGCATGATAAATAAAAACATTTAATCAAAGTCAATTTTATTTTTCATATTCAAATGGACTGAGTGTTAACATTTAACATTTTTTGCTAATTGTCGTCAAAAATTAGGCGTAAAGCAAAAATTGATATTTCATATGGTTTTATGATAGATAAGCATTATATTCCCACTCATTATATTCGTAAATTTTGAGGTTTATCCTTCGCTTTTAAGATCATTGAATTTGATTTTTATATAAAATAGTTATATATTAGAAAATAATATGAGTTTATGTGATATTATTTTTCAGAAGATTTTGTGTTCTTCTTCAAAATTTTATTTTTTTATTAAAAAGAATCTTTACAAAATATACATTTACTTTAATTAATATTTAAAAACGTGCTCTATCAAAAGTTCCAAAAATTCAATATTTTAGCTTTTCTGAGGTGTCACTTTTGATGAATTTCTGTTTACAACATGAATGCTTTTTAAAATTTAAATGTTGAAAGATAATACTTTTGATGATATTTTGGAATTTTTGAAGCAAATTTGAATACATGTTGATTAATGAATCTATCTTATGTCTTTTACTTTAACATTGGCATTATGTCATTTTATATCTATAAACTTAATAAAAATACGAGTGGGGGACAAACTCGCCCATTGTCACTTTTTCATTAACCTTAAACTTGTAATTTTCATTATTTTTAATTAACCTTATTTCTTTCCCAATTCCTGATTTATTTTATTCACTTACTATTAAAAGTCACATTTTAATAAAATATAATAATTTATTTATAGCATTTTTTACTATACTGTAATAAAAAATTAATTATAATAAATTAAATGTTTATTAAATCAAATGTTTTCTTTGCAATAATATTTTTAATGTTGAGTAAACAATGTTGGGATCAAGTGTATCATTTTTCAGACCTTTCTGAACAGCTTCAAGCATACTGATGCATTCGACTTTTTTAAATTGTGTCATTTCTTCGAAATCTCTTGTGACTTTTTTGATAACTTTAACACTTCTCTCTGAATCCAGACCTTTAATTTGCAACTTAATCAGGAATGAAGGAACAACACTGGAATATAACTCGATGACAAGTTCATCGAGTCGAAGATTTGGTTGTACACCACTTGTATGTGCCGGATACCATTGTGTCAAATTTTTTCTGAAATTAACTTTAAAAGTACTAAGTAAGATCATGAGATATAGCAATATATGTTTAAACCAACTTATATTTTGGTTGTACACCACTTGTATGTGCCGGATACCATTGTGTCAAATTTTTTCTGAAATTAACTTTAAAAGTACTAAGTAAGATCATGAGATATAGCAATATATGTTTAAACCAACTTATATTTTGGTTGTACACCACTTGTATGTGCCGGATACCATTGTGTCAAATTTTTTCTGAAATTAACTTTAAAAGTACTAAGTAAGATCATGAGATATAGCAATATATGTTTAAACCAACTTATATTTTGGTTGTACACCACTTGTATGTGCCGGATACCATTGTGTCAAATTTTTTCTGAAATTAACTTTAAAAGTACTAAGTAAGATCATGAGATATAGCAATATATGTTTAAACTAACTTATATTTTGGTTGTACACCACTTGTATGTGCCGGATACCATTGTGTCAAATTTTTTCTGAAATTAACTTTAAAAGTACTAAGTAAGATCATTTATTTTTGCATAATATAATGCCAATATGGTTTCTTTTGATTTTATTTCATTTATAAGCAAATCAGATTTACCCAAAAACTCCACTCCATAAGCGTTCATTTGCTAAATTAAAAAGTGACAATGGGCTAGTCTGTCCCTTTCTCAATACATGTTGATTAATGAATCTATCTTATGTCTTTTACTTTAACATTGGCATTATGTCATTTTATATCTATAAACTTAATAAAAATACATAATTAAATTTCCGAAATCCGTGATATCATTATTTTTCCCAAGTATGACATAGAATTTTTTTCTCTTAATGAATATTAAAGATATTTTATAAAGTAAAATACAAACGTTTAATGTCTGATCAAGACGTTCATCCAAACAAATATGGGGAAATGCGAAGTAAGTTCAAATACTACATTGATTTATATAATGCATTGTATCAGCTTAAAACTGAAAAAGAAGAAGAACTCAACAATATTTACAAAAAGATCCAAACAGAATTGATCGATTCAAATCAACTCCCAGCAGAAAATATTATCAGCGATATTTTGAATATCATTCCGTATAATAATCGCTATACAAAGTCATATTTATCTCTTGCGAATTTCATATATAATGACTATCACGTCAAAGAGGTCAAAAATGTTAATTGTGTTTCAAACTTATTGTTTTATGATGAATATGAAATTGAATTAGACTATTCTGATCCAATTGATATTTTTACAGAAGATACAATTTACAAAGCAATTATGTATAATAACTTAAAAACATTCATCACATTCACCGAAAGAGAAGGTTTTGATAAAGATCAAAAACTTGAAAGCTATTTATATCCAGATTCTTATGATGGATTTTCATTACTTGAATTATGCTGTTACTATGGAGCTGATGACTGTTTCAAGTTCTTGAGAACGAAATTTAACTCAGAAATAACTCGAGAATGTCTACAGCTTTCATTTTTAGGAGGAAATCAAGAGATCATGAGCGAATGTTTGAAATATCAAGAACCAGATGAATATTGCATGGAAAATGCAATTATTTCGCATAACATTGATTTTGTCACATTCTTGATAAATGAATACAATATAAAGATCGAATTCGAAGATTGCACAAAATATAAGAATCTTGAATCATTTTTAGTTTATTTCGATCAAACTAATGATATTAACTAATGTTTTGTTTATTCATCGGTGTTTGATATTCCATCTCTTTGCGAATATTTCCTTTTACATGGTGTAGATATTAATGCAAAAAATCACGATGGAGAAAGCGCTCTTCATTATGCAGCCTATGGTCATAGTAAAGAAGCAGCCAAATTTCTTATTTCACGTGGTATAAATATCAATGGAAAAGATGAATATGGGCAAACCGCTCTTCATATTTCAGCACGTAACAACAATAAAGAAGTAGCTGAACTTCTTATTTCACATGGTGCAAATATTAATGAAAAAACTAATGATGGAAAAACAGTTTTTTATTTTGCAGCATGGAATAATAGCAAAGAAGTAGTCGAGCTTCTTATTTTACATAGTGCAAAAATCAAGCCAAAAGGAATTCTTAATTTTATAGCAAAATATAATAACACAGAAACAGCTGAACTTCTTATTTCACATGGTATAAATATCAATCAAAAAGATGAAGCTGGACAAACCGCTCTTCATGAAGCAGCATGGAATAATAGTAAAGAAACAGCCAAACTTCTTATTTCACATGGTATAAATATCAATGAAAAAGATAATCATGGGAAAACCGCTCTTCATTATGCAACAAAAAATAATAGAAAAGAAATGGCTGAACTTCTTATTTCACATGGTGCAAATATCAATGAAAAAGATAATAATGGAAAAACCGCTCTTCATTGTGCAACAAAAAAGAATTATAAAGAAATCTGCGAACTTCTTATTTCACATGGTGCAAATATCAATGAAAGCGATAAATATGGGCGAAACGCTCTTCATATTGCAGCAGCGAATGGTAATAAAGAAATCTGCGAACTTCTTATTTCACATGGTGCAAATATCAATGAAAAAAGTAAAGTTGGATTAACTGCTCTTCATTTAGCATCAAAAAATGATAGTAAAGAAATCCGTGAACTTCTTATTTCACATGGTGCAAAGATCAATGAAAAAAACGAAGATGGAAAAACCGCTCTTCATTATGCAATAGATAACAAAAGAAAAGAAGCTGCCGAACTTCTTATTTCACATGGTGCAAATATCAATGAAAAAGATAAAAACGGAAAAACCTCTCTTCATTATGCAGCAGAGAATAATAGAAAAGAAATTGCCGAACTTCTTATTTCACATGGTGCAAATATCAATGAAAAAGATAATAATGGAAGAACTGCTCTTATTCATGCAGCAAAAAATTCTAATATAAAAATATGTGAAATTCTTATTTCGCATGGTGCAAATATCAATGAAAAAGATAATGATGGAAAAACAGCCCTTAATGAATCAAAAATTTTATATACCAAAGAAATAACTAAACTTCTTATTTCACATGGAACAAATATCAATGAAAAAGATAATGAGGGAAAAACCTTTCTTCATTATTCAGCAGCGTTTTATAATGCAGAAGTAGCCGAACTTCTTATTTCACATGGAGCAAATATCAATGAAAAAGATAATAATGGAAAAACAGTTTTTCATTATGCAGTAAAGAATTTTAGTCCAGAAACAGCCGAACTTCTTATTTCACACATGGTGCAAATATCAATGAAAAAGATAATGATGGAAAACATCTCTTTATTATGCAATAGATAGTAATAGTGAAACAACAGTCGAACTCCTTATTTCACTTGGTATAAATATAAATGAAAAAGATAATGATGGGCAAATTTCTCTTCATTATGCAGCAGAGGCTAATAGAATAGAAATAGCTGAAATCCTTATTTCACATGGTGCAAATATCAATGAAAGGGATATAAATGGACAAACCGCTCTTCATATTGCGGCATATAATGATAGAAAAAAAATGTGCAAACTTCTTATTTCACATGGTGCAAATATCAATGAAAAAGATAATCATGGGAAAACTGCTCTTCATTATGCAACAAAAAATAATAGAAAAGAAATGGCTGAACTTCTTATTTCACATGGTATAAATATCAATGAAAAAGATAATAATGGAAAAACCGCTCTTCATTATGCAACAACAGAGAATTATAAAGAAATCTGTGAACTTCTTATTTCACATGGTGCAAATATCAATGAAAGCGATAAATATGGGCGAAACGCTCTTCATATTGCAGCAGCGAATGGTAATAAAGAAATCTGCGAACTTCTTATTTCACATGGTGCAAATATCAATGAAAAAAGTAAAGTTGGATTAACTGCTCTTCATTTAGCATCAAAAAATGATAGTAAAGAAATCCGTGAACTTCTTATTTCACATGGTGCAAAGATCAATGAAAAAAACGAAGATGGAAAAACCGCTCTTCATTATGCAATAGATAACAAAAGAAAAGAAGCTGCCGAACTTCTTATTTCACATGGTGCAAATATCAATGAAAAAGATAAAAACGGAAAAACCTCTCTTCATTATGCAGCAGAGAATAATAGAAAAGAAATTGCCGAACTTCTTATTTCACATGGTGCAAATATCAATGAAAAAGATAATAATGGAAGAACTGCTCTTATTCATGCAGCAAAAAATTCTAATATAAAAATATGTGAAATTCTTATTTCACATGGTGCAAATATCAATGAAAAAGATAATAATGGAAAAACCGCTCTTCATTGTGCAACAAAAAAGAATTATAAAGAAATCTGCGAACTTCTTATTTCACATGGTGCAAATATCAATGAAAGCGATAAATATGGGCGAAACGCTCTTCATATTGCAGCAGCGAATGGTAATAAAGAAATCTGCGAACTTCTTATTTCACATGGTGCAAATATCAATGAAAAAAGTAAAGTTGGATTAACTGCTCTTCATTTAGCATCAAAAAATGATAGTAAAGAAATCCGTGAACTTCTTATTTCACATGGTGCAAAGATCAATGAAAAAAACGAAGATGGAAAAACCGCTCTTCATTATGCAATAGATAACAAAAGAAAAGAAGCTGCCGAACTTCTTATTTCACATGGTGCAAATATCAATGAAAAAGATAAAAACGGAAAAACCTCTCTTCATTATGCAGCAGAGAATAATAGAAAAGAAATTGCCGAACTTCTTATTTCACATGGTGCAAATATCAATGAAAAAGATAATAATGGAAGAACTGCTCTTATTCATGCAGCAAAAAATTCTAATATAAAAATATGTGAAATTCTTATTTCGCATGGTGCAAATATCAATGAAAAAGATAATGATGGAAAAACAGCCCTTAATGAATCAAAAATTTTATATACCAAAGAAATAACTAAACTTCTTATTTCACATGGAACAAATATCAATGAAAAAGATAATGAGGGAAAAACCTTTCTTCATTATTCAGCAGCGTTTTATAATGCAGAAGTAGCCGAACTTCTTATTTCACATGGAGCAAATATCAATGAAAAAGATAATAATGGAAAAACAGTTTTTCATTATGCAGTAAAGAATTTTAGTCCAGAAACAGCCGAACTTCTTATTTCACATGGTGCAAATATCAATGAAAAAGATAATGATGGAAAAACATCTCTTTATTATGCAATAGATAGTAATAGTGAAACAACAGTCGAACTCCTTATTTCACTTGGTATAAATATAAATGAAAAAGATAATGATGGGCAAATTTCTCTTCATTATGCAGCAGAGGCTAATAGAATAGAAATAGCTGAAATCCTTATTTCACATGGTGCAAATATCAATGAAAGGGATATAAATGGACAAACCGCTCTTCATATTGCGGCATATAATGATAGAAAAAAAATGTGCAAACTTCTTATTTCACATGGTGCAAATATCAATGAAAAAGATAATCATGGGAAAACTGCTCTTCATTATGCAACAAAAAATAATAGAAAAGAAATGGCTGAACTTCTTATTTCACATGGTATAAATATCAATGAAAAAGATAATAATGGAAAAACCGCTCTTCATTATGCAACAACAGAGAATTATAAAGAAATCTGTGAACTTCTTATTTCACATGGTGCAAATATCAATGAAAAAAATAAAAACGGAAAAACTGCTCTTCATAATGCAACATCTAATAAAAGTATAGGAATAGTTAAACCTCTTATTTCGCGTGGCGCAAATAGCAATAATAAGGGCAAAAACGGAAAAACCACTCTTAATCGTTCATTATATATAGCTGGGAGAAATATGGGTACACGGGGAAAAAAGATGTAAACCTTGATATTTAGCAGCCGATAGTTCAAAACAAAAACTTAAAAATATGTTTTTTATATATTGACACTCAAGCTTTATTTCCCAATTTTCTATGATAAAAAGCTAATATTTTTGATCTAGAAAAATTTTTATAAATCACCGCTTAGTTCCTAAAATGGCTATAATACTATTTTCCCATTAAAATAATGATATGTTGATATTATCTGCGCGTGTCAGAAAGTTGTAAGTGCACTCTTAATTGTGCACTTAAAATATCATCGTTAATAATTTAAAATTGTTTATAAGTAATATCTATCATTCGTTTTTATCAATGAAATTAACAACCCTTTGTAAAAATTGCAAGAATTATATTCATTTTGGCCATGTGTATATATTGTTCCTTTTATTGGAATTTTAAAAATTTGAAAGTACTTTGGTATCAATAAAAACGATTGTAGAGGAAGTAGAAAAACTTTGAAAGGCCAAAAATTTTTTGTCTTACAAATTTATACTTTCTGACAGAAAGGGTCTTAAATGATAGTTTTCCCACATATTAAATCGATCTTAATTCATAGACTTAAAATCATGTTCTTCATGTCTGTCGTAGGACTTTTAAATTCTTTATTTTAGCATATAGAAGTCATACTTCATGTGATGTATTTTATCGCAAACACATTAATTGCGTGTGAAGCTTAAACGCAAGCTTGAAATCATATTAATTGCATGTAAACCTTTCAATCTACTCAAATTTTGAGAGACAGACGCAAAGAATATGATTTCATTTTTAAGGATACCCTTACATTGCGTAGTTAGAAAGAGAATATGATATTGTCATGATTGCTAAAGTTTTAGGCTCCAGAAATGAATATACATCAAACTGAAACAATTGATAAATTGAATGAACTTTTGAGAGGTTCTCAAATAAAAAAATTATCTAATTTTTTACAATATTACTATTATTTTATCCACATATGTATATATAGTAATTTGAGAAAACTTTTAGGAAAAAATAAGTTTAATAAAAATCTGAATTTTACTTGTTGTGGGATTGTTATTAATTGACACTCCAGACGTATTACTAATAGTTATGCGTATGCAATTAAAATATTTCTGATGGACAAAATGTGAGATTTATATCAGATAATTCATTTCTACTATTATGTTATTCATTTATGAGTTTGCACTTATTCGCACTAAATAAATAACTATTAAAAATTGTTTTAATTAATTGACACCATATAATAGAGTGAATTTTGTTTGATCAAACAACAATAGATGATAGATATAAAGCCAAGAAACTTGCTATTAATATGCTCTACTTGCTATTTCAATGTAAGTATGATATTTTCTAAATGTTTCGTTCAGATAACTTAGATATATTAGTCAAAATTTGAAATTTTAATAGCACATATATTAAAAATAATTATTATTCATAAAAGATTAATGAAATAGTAAAAAAAATCAATCAAATTATAAAAATACAACATTTAGAAGAATTCTTATTATCCTTCAAAAAGTCAGTATTTCTGCTGTAATTTTCTACAACATTGTAGTTATTGCACTTTGTCTATGGATTTGTATATATGTTATATATAAATTATATATCTAAACTGCCCATAAGTGCAATTTTTATATAAATTGTTTATTTCTTTAACAATTTCATATGAAATATGCTTTTTTAAGCGTATCAAAGCTGTGTTCTTAATGTGCATGGATATATCAAGAAAAATGTCGAAAAAAATGTGAATTCACAAATTCACTGAATTTTCACCGTTTTTTGAATTTTGCTACAGCACTAATATTAAATAATACTAAAATCTTCTGTCTTTGTAAAAGAATAAATTCTGACAAAAAGTGCTCGTTTAAATTTAATGATCATCTGTATGACTAAGTGGTAAAAAGTGTTTATGACCAAAAAAGGGTTACATGCTTAGTCTATTTTTCTGACAGGATACTCTAGATTTACATGATCTCTATTTCATATCTCCGTTTTTAGATTCTTCGACAGATTTTATGATAGAAAACCAAGATTAACAAATTTCCGGCATGTTAATGAAGAAATCTGCAGCTACCCTCAATATTATTTCAATAATCAGTATCGTTTCTCTTACAATTTATTTTTTTCTCAATAATTTAACAAGAAATAACAATACACACTTGGTTTTACGTATAAAAGCTAAGTGTCGAACTTAATCAACTTTACTTACTTAGCAAATGAATATTTTTGTGGTTGCGAGTTCTGAATGCTGAAGTTTTAGATTTCTCTATAAATGATATCATTGCACTTACAATGTTGTTCCAGCCTATCGCATAAATCATAGAAAATCCAAAAAAAAAATAATATAAAGAAAATTCATGTCATGAAGTTCAAAAAATACCGTGTAACATTAAAATTTGTTATGCATAATACATTTTAGCTATTATTGATTTTTTTTTTAATTTTCGAGAAATTGAATGGTGAGTCCGATAGAGAAATTTTTAAAAATCCTAGTCCCTCATAGAAGTAATTTCCCTCGTCTCCCATACTTCCAAATGTATGCATATGACATAAACTTTTATGCATTACACAAGTGGCCAATAATATCTATAGAGTAAAAAATTAGAAATTTAATTTTTTTATATGATAGTTATATTTCAGATTTGCGAGCGTAACTTTTTTCTCCATGGCATACTTGTTTTAAGAGCAAATGATCAAAATCGTCCTTCAATTATTGAAGGAGCTGATATCTTTTGAAAATTGAATTGAAATGGTATTCAATTTTCAAATTTCCTCTCAATTTTGGAAACATATCAACTCTATGAATTAACAATTATGTGCCTTCACAGTTTATCAGTCATATAAGGTGCTTATAAAGAAAAAAGTTACGCTCGCAAAATATGTTTTTATATAGATTTCACATAAAATAATTATGTAATTTCTAAAAAGAATATTTTTGTTCTTGAATATTAAAGTGTATTGTAGTTTAAAAAGTTTTAAATATGTTGCTAAAATTTCAGGTTTATAGCTCATGTCTAGCATGACTTCTTCGTATGCGCAAAAAATCTGACACGTAAGGGTATCCTTAATAAAAAAATGTTATACACTTAACTAAAAAAAAGTATAAGAAAGTTTATTATTTTAAATATTCTGATTAATTTTCTTTCATCATTTCTTATCAGAATTAGGTCTGCAATAAGCATGAGTTACAAAGTTATCTTTCATTACATAGAACACGGAGTCATTGATTGGTTTTCCACAGATTGCGCACTTTGTATTTGTTCCAACCTCGATGAAACCACCTTTCAAGTACTTCAACTGTTGTTCTTTTTCTCTTTTTACTGTATCAAGTAAACCATTCTTTAGCTGAGCCAATCTTGATGTGTTCAAATCGGATGTTGTTATGTATTTCAAGAACTCAGAGATATCAGAAATAGAAGTATTCAAGTCGATGAAATCGATAGCAGCATCAGGTTTGATTCGATCTGCGCATTTATTGACGAATTCTGCTACGTAATCCTTCATTTCTTCTGTGTTTCTCATTTCGAACAAATACTTGTTGTATATCTCCATTGTACTTGGATTTTCTTTGTCGTAGTAGCAATCCAAGAGATACAAACCATACTCCAATCTTTCTTCTCCTTTTGTGAATCTCTTTTCTGATTTCGTGATCAAATCCAACGCGTGTTCAATTGATTTGATCTTTCTGTAAGCGATGAGTTTCTCTTCAATCAACATGTTATCGATTGAAGTAATGATGTCAACATCGAATTCGCTGCTTGGAATTGTTTCCAAGATCTTTTTAAGTCCTTCTCTGTAAGACTTAATCGGATCTTTTTCTTGAGAAATCAATGATTTGCTTGATCCAAATTTAGATTTCTCTTTCAACAAATTCAAATAAACATCAACTAATAATTTCGCAATCGACTTTTGTAACAAACCTCTGTCGTAAATTGCGAATTCGAGGAAATGAGCCAACAAGTTATTCCTCAGTTCTTCATCAACTTTGTCGTTCTTCTGCAAGAAATGAACAACAGTGTCAATGTCTGTTGACATCAAAGTTGGAGAACAAAAGATTTCGCTTGCTTTGTTCAGTCTTGAGTCGATGTATTGTATTGGATAAACACTCTTTTCTGTTTTAGATCTAACACTTGTTGTATCCAATACTTGTGTAGTCAGTTCTTTGAGGATTTCGTCGAAAAAGATTTTTCCTTGTGTCAAACAATCCTTTGAATTCCTCAAATAAGAAATCGCTCTGTCAATGTTGTGTTGGCCCAAAATGAAGCGAATTGCAATGTCATGCTGGCCATGTAACTCGCACAAATCAATAAGAGCATCTTGTTGTTGGAGATTAATAAATGTATCTTTAACAATCGTAAAGAAAATCGGTGGATTGTTTTTAATCTCTTTAGATAACTCAAATTGTTGTGCAGTGCGTGCATAGCATTGGAATAACATTGTATTATAGATCTTCTTGCATGTGGAATTTGTCTCGTTCTTAAGAATGTTCTTCAAGTATTGTTGTAATGGCATAATTGCTTCTTGATCTTTTCCAAGCGGTTTTGACAAAAATCTTGATGTCAACAAATCATCGGCGTTTTTCTTCACCTCGTCGAGACTTTGTATTCCTTGTTTAGCCTCGCGTGCGTAGTCCTCGTATTTCATGTAGATCTTCGACGCGTCGGGGATTTCTTCATCGCTTTGAGTGATTTGATTCAATTCTTTAATTGCGTCGTAAACTTTTTCTGGATTGATTCTGGAAGTGTCTGGAAGGTCTTTCAGGGTATCAAGGACTTTCGTATATGCGTCTTTTGTCTTCTGGATATCATCCATTGTTGCTTTCTTAAGGTCTTGTGTCGCAAAAGTTGTAAAACGTTTAAGAATTGCAAATGGATGTTTCATACTCATCTGGAACTTCTCGAAAGCATCGGAGTAGCGTTGCGCACTTACTAAGTTCTCGGAATACTGTAGATAAATGTCCGAAAGCTTTTGGTCGTTCCTGAAATCTGGATATTTGATTATTCGACAAAAAGTGATCGCGTTTTCCCACTGTTTGGTATTGTTGGTATAGATAAGATGGAATATGTGTCTGTCTGGGCCATTCGTGTTGTATCTGGAAATATAAGTATTATTTTTGTTTGTAATGACAACGTTGAAGTTTGGCATGATTTCTACGCATGGGTATTTGAGTTTGAAGGGTATTGGATACTCTTCGCAAATGGTTCCGATTGTAGATTTGATTATTAGAGCTTTGTAGGTCAGAACGAAGATGTAAGGAGGTATAATTTCAAGGTATACGATTTCGTCGGTGAAATTAAGATTGCTTGGATCAATTTCTTTATCTGGGAATAATAAAGTTACAGTGTTTTGATATGACACTGCAAAGTTGTTCTTTCCCTTGATAGATCTGATTGACTTTATTTGCATGTTTTGGCTTTCGTATTTCTTGAACTGAAAATCGAATTTATGATAAGCTCCTTTCTCAACAATAACAAAATGCGAAATTCCTACGGCAAGATCGAGAGGTCTGAATTTATGTGGCATTGATCTCATCTTTTCGAGATTGTTGTTAGAGAATCTGTAAATTCCAATTTCCTTTGGTTCTACGACTACTAACTCCTCGTGGTTATCGGACGGAGCTATAAATAATGCATTTGTAATTGGTGTTTCAAGGAATTTACCTGGCCATTTATCTTCAGGGAGATAATAAACACTTTTGCCTGCTAAAACAAGCAAAATATATCTATCTCCGATCTTGATAGTTTGCATTGCCTTTGGAGTACTCCATGTGAATTGAAGTTCGGAAATTTCGCCTTTAGATCTGTTATCAATTACGTATTTGCAAATTGTTGGAGCTTTTGTTGCAAAATAAATAAAAGATTCGGTATGTGTTGTACAAAGGATATCTGATGATAGTGGGGAACAAAGAGTATTGATCTTGTCAAATCCCTGTTCCTGCGTCATTCAACTGCAAAACAAAAAACAACCGCTTTTCATTATTATCGGCGTGGTAGCGCCTGTAAATATTGATAAACTATATATGAGCATTATAATAAAACCGGAAAAAGTCAATAATCACATCTTATTTTTGCATAATTCAAAATGGAATCATGTATTATTAAGTCATAATTAAATTCAGAAGACCCCTTTCAAAATAATTGAATACAATTCAATCATTAAAGGACAGAATTTTTAAATTTTAAGCAATTAATATGAACAACAATATTTGGTAAAATACAATTAAAATATTATTAGGCAGAATTAATAAACAGATATATGTTGAATTCCCTGGATATAGGCCAAATGGCCCCAAATTTTGGATACAGCTCCCATGCATGCTTGGGAATAATGTTTGTATGAACATGCAATAAAATCTATAAGTAAATTTTGAGGAAATTGTTTGGGTAATTTGAATATATTGTAAGTTCTGATTTTTTTTCTTTTTCTTTTTTTTTTCATTTTTTACTTAATTAGCTGATTTATTCATAATATGAATCGGGTAAAACTAATTATTATAATTTGTAAAATGATATTAATGCTTAAATATAATATATTACAATATTGAGTAAAATTATTATATTAATCAACATGAAGGATGATTGAAATTAAAATGTTAAGATTGTAATTTGAAATCATTAATAATTTCATATATCTTGCATGTTTCAATAATATTTTCGAATTGAGCGAAAAATTGATGGGTTATTTCATATCAAGAAGCCTTGCTGATCATATAGTATCTAAATTATATAAAGTTGTGAATTATATACTGGTTGTAAGACAATTTGTATTAAAAAAAAAAATTATTTATAATAAGAGAATGACTGTTTTATGTGCAATGGCTATGTTTTATTTATCAATAAAGAGTTAATTGTTGCAGAAAAAGCAATATATTAAGAATCATTTCTGATTCTTCATAAAGTTGAATCAAAGACAGTCATTATTATAGAATGATTGTCTTTGTGTGCAATAATCACGTGTTATTCATGTATATACACGTGATTGTTGCAGATAATGCAACTTTTTTTAGAATCATTTCTGATTCTTCATAAAGTTGAATCAAAGACAGTCATTATTATAGAATGATTGTCTTTGTGTGCAACATTCACTTGTGTTGACAACAATAACATGTGATTGTTGTTCATAATGCAACTTTTTTTAGAATCATTTCTGATTCTTCATAAAGTTGGATCAAAGACAGTCATTATTATAGAATGGTTGTCTTTGTGTGCAACATTCACTTGTGTTGACAACAATAACATGTGATTGTTGTTCATAATGCAACTTTTTTTAGAATCATTTTCTGATTCTTCATAAAGTTGGATCAAAGACAGTCATTATTATAGAATGGTTGTCTTTGTGTGCAACATTCACTTGTGTTGACAACAATAACATGTGATTGTTGTTCATAATGCAACTTTTTTTAGAATCATTTCTGATTCTTCATAAAGTTGAATCAAAGACAGTCATTATTATAGAATGGTTGTCTTTGTGTGCAACATTCACTTGTGTTGACAACAATAACATGTGATTGTTGTTCATAATGCAACTTTTTTTAGAATCATTTCTGATTCTTCATAAAGTTGAATCAAAGACAGTCATTATTATAGAATGGTTGTCTTTGTGTGCAACATTCACTTGTGTTGACAACAATAACATGTGATTGTTGTTCATAATGCAACTTTTTTTAGAATCATTTCTGATTTTTCATAAAGTTGGATCAAAGACAGTCATTATTATAGAATGGTTGTGTTTGTGTGCAACATTCACTTGTATTGACAACAATAACATGTGATTGTTGTTCATAATGCAACTTTTTTAGAATCATTTCTGATTCTTCATAAAGTGGAATCAAAGACAGTCATTATTATAGAATGGTTGTGTTTGTGTGCAACATTCACTTGTGTTGACAACAATAACATGTGATTGTTGTTCATAATGCAACTTTTTTTAGAATCATTTCTGATTCTTCATAAAGTTGAATCAAAGACAGTCATTATTATAGAATGGTTGTCTTTGTATGCAACATTCACTTGTGTTGACAACAATAACATGTGATTGTTGTTCATAATGCAACTTTTTTTAGAATCATTTCTGATTCTTCATAAAGTTGGATCAAAGACAGTCATTATTATAGAATGGTTGTCTTTGTGTGCAACATTCACTTGTGTTGACAACAATAACATGTGATTGTTGTTCATAATGCAACTTTTTTTAGAATCATTTCTGATTCTTCATAAAGTTGGATCAAAGACAGTCATTATTATAGAATGATTGTCTTTGTTCGCAATAATCACGTGTTATTCATGTATATACACGTGATTATTGCAGATAATGCAACTTTTTAGAATCATTTCTGATTCTTCATAAAGTTGAATCAAAGACAGTCATTATTATAGAATGATTGTCTTTGTTCGCAATAATCACGTGTTATTCATGTATATACACGTGATTATTTGCAGATAATGCAACTTTTTTTAGAATCATTTCTGATTCTTCATAAAGTGGAATCAAAGACAGTCATTATTATAGAATGATTGTCTTTGTTCGCAATAATCACGTGTTATTCATGTATATACACGTGATTGTTGCAGATAATGCAACTTTTTTTAGAATCATTTCTGATTCTTCATAAAGTTGAATCAAAGACAGTCATTATTATAGAATGGTTGTCTTTGTGTGCAACATTCACTTGTGTTGACAACAATAACATGTGATTGTTGTTCATAATGCAACTTTTTTTAGAATCATTCTGATTCTTCATAAAGTTGAATCAAAGACAGTCATTATTATAGAATGGTTGTCTTTGTGTGCAACATTCACTTGTATCGACAACAATAACATGTGATTGTTGTTTCATAATGCAACTTTTTTTAGAATCATTTCTGATTCTTCATAAAGTTGATCAAAGACAGTCATTATTATAGAATGATTGTCTTTGTTCGCAATAATCACGTGTTATTCATGTATATACACGTGATTATTGCAGATAATGCAACTTTTTTTAGAATCATTTCTGATTCTTCATAAAGTGAATCAAAGACAGTCATTATTATAGAATGGTTGTCTTTGTGTGCAACATTCACTTGTGTTGACAACAATAACATGTGATTGTTGTTTCATAATGCAACTTTTTTTAGAATCATTTCTGATTCTTCATAAAGTTGGATCAAAGACAGTCATTATTATAGAATGGTTGTCTTTGTGTGCAACATTCACTTGTGTTGACAACAATAACATGTGATTGTTGTTCATAATGCAACTTTTTTTAGAATCATTTCTGATTCTTCATAAAGTTGGATCAAAGACAGTCATTATTATAGAATGATTGTCTTTGTTCGCAATAATCACGTGTTATTCATGTATATACACGTGATTATTGCAGATAATGCAACTTTTTTTAGAATCATTTCTGATTCTTCATAAAGTGGAATCAAAGACAGTCATTATTATAGAATGGTTGTCTTTGTGTGCAACATTCACTTGTATCGACAACAATAACATGTGATTGTTGTTCATAATGCAACTTTTTTTAGAATCATTTCTGATTCTTCATAAAGTTGAATCAAAGACAGTCATTGATAGACAATTGTTATTATTCTCTATGTGTCATTCCAGGAGACATTGTCTATGCAAGTCTCCCAGAATGACACATTCATCTACAATCTTCTTCTGATTGTGTGACTTTGAAACACATAATAGCATATTATGCTTTTATTGTTCTCTATGTGTCATTCCAGGAGACATTGTCTATGCAAGTCTCCCAGAATGACACATTCATCTACAATCTTCTTCTGATTGTGTGACTTTGAAACACATAATAGCATATTATGCTTTTATTGTTCTCTATGTGTCATTCCAGGAGACATTGTCTATGCAAGTCTCCCAGAATGACACATATCTATTTAATCATCATTTCATTGTTTAATTTTGACTCATATTTATTAAATCTCTCTTTTTAACTTATTCATTTCTCATTCCCTTCAAAATCCTATCATAAAACCTCCTTTAAAGCAACTTTTTCTTCTCTTTTTACTTTTAATTTCTGAGATTCAAATTTTTTTCTATTTTCTTCAGTTTTCTTTTATAAAACTCATATATCCATTCATACTAATTCTTAATATACTATATTACATTGAGATTTCATCTTTTTTTCATATTTCGAATTAAATCAGCTATATCAACCTAATATCCGGACCTGTCAATATTCAAATATTATTGGCCACATGTATCTGAGCATTTACACAGATTTTACCCACGTTTTGCGAAAAAAACAAAATGATAGAGTGGGTCATAAGGATCAGTTTTGCTATAGCTTGTACGGATTGAAACTCAATATTCATTCGGGAAAAGACGTTTCAAAATTTTGTAAAGTATTCAAATTTGCAGCTTTGTTCGATTTGAAAGTTGAAATTTGAAGCGAAATGACTGCATGAATATGTTCTTCATATTGAATCTAAGCATTTCTTAGAATTTGGAGTTTCTCTTAAAAGTTTTTTCGGTTGAAAAATTAAAAATAAAACAAAAGAATTTTTTTCCGATTTTTTAAACGCATCTTAATTTTTAACGGACGACAGAGTATTTGATCAAAGTCCAATATGGCTATCACACTATATTATAGTAGGTTTGTATGGTAAACAATAAAATTTTGAATTTAATGACTTCATAAAGATTTGATAAGATAATTTTTGTGTAAACAAGTATTTAATATGAAAAAATTAAATTTCATTATCAACACTTAAATTCTGTTATGAATGTAAAGGACAATTATTGAGAAAACATAGATTAGACTAATTATCGAATGTTTGTGAAGAATAAGTGTTTCAGTAGGTTGGACATCGATAGATATAATGAGTAGAAAATGATAATACGATAAAATTAAGATTTGTGATGAGATTTCATAGAGCTAAAGAATATTTGATAAGTTGGGGACATACGGGAAGACTTGCATAGACAATACCTCCCGG